GAAAAGGGACGCTGTGGGTTTCAGGGTGAAGATCTTCTCTCACTACTCTAAAGGGCCCCTTTGGCAGTAGGAAACACATAGACTATTATGGGGAAAATGGATCACTTTTGAAACGAGATTTTAATATACTTAACAAGATACTTTATTTTTAGATAACTATGGAGATGAGTGCACTGAGGACCCATAGAATACAGATTCTACAGGGATTACAAGGTATTCAGAGAAAGTCTTAGGTTTTGAATTTTCTCTGTTAATTTCCTATTCTCTAGTGAAGGCAATGAAAAGTAATAATTACACTGTCAGTATTTCTGCTTTTTCTCTTTGGGAAAAACCCTCTCTTAAGATGGTTCCTAGTCATAATCCTTTTAGACTATATAATCTCAAAAATGCTTACCATTGGGGGCAGAATGTTGTTATAGGAAACATGTATTGAGATAGGAATAAAAAAAAATAATGGATTGAAATATTTTTTGGTGTTCTTATTAGTACTTATCTGATTTTGGATAAATCACTTAAAATCTTTTAAGACAAAAAAGAATGTTAATGCTTGTACTCTCTATAACTGGTGGTTATATAGATTATGTGACATTCTGTTTTGAAGAATTATGAGAACTATGCTGATAACACTTGACAGCAAATGAGGGGTAGGGTTGGTTTTTTTTTAGGCGGTGATACACTTACTAATTAAAAGTTATCCTATTCTTTATAAATCAACTCAGAAAATGAGTGACTTTACAGAAAACATTTTTTTGCGTATGTGTGCTTCCCATTCTAGAAACGTATGAACCTTCTGAGCACCCAGACCAGGTTCCCTGTAACCTTTCCCAAGAACAGAGGAACAGTAGATCTCAGTCGTCATCTGATGCCACACTGCTACCTGCTCCCCTTTTCCCAGTTTTCCTGGACCCTCCATCTTTCCATGTGTCACCATCATCTACATCTTCTACTTTCCAAGCCCATGGCACTATCCCTGCTCCAGACTCATCAATTCAGATTAAACAAGAACCTTTGTCTCCTGAACGTGATGAGAATGTGAATACTGTACCACAAGGCTCTGCTGGTAGTGTGTCCAAGGAATTACCTCAAACCAATAGTATGTAAGCTTTTTTCTCCGGTAGTTGTACTAAGGCAATTTTGTATCTGTGATGTAAAGACATTTCATGTAAAATAAATAAATAAATAAAACATTTATTACAATTTTTAATTGACATTTTCTTTGTACAGGAGAATTCTTTAAAAACCTTTTCATATTCCCCCTCACCCTCAGTGTCCTCTTATATATATATAGTTATTAACCTGACTTTCTGTTAGCACCCAAAAGCTTTTGTTGTTGGGATTAGTGCAGAATTTATTTGGCTTTTGTGAGAGAAATGGGATTGAAGTTTGTAGATTTTTGGGTAAGGTATATCCTCTGATTTTTCTCAGCACTTAACCTGTTAAATATAGTCATGTGACCAAAATTGAAGGCAGGTGACTCGGGTCTGGAATCATCTCATAGCAATTTGGTTGGTTTTGAGAAATAGCTAGAATTTTCCTTATTTCATAAAATAATATTGGTTACCATTTGAGAATAATTCCAAGCTATTTAATATCCTGTTTGAAGTTTGTGTAATCAGAATGGTGCTTAATTGAATACTAAGTAAAAAGTAAGCAAAAAAAAAAAATCCATACTGTGTTATTTCTTGAGAAAAAACAAAACTGCTACTAGTATCCTGTTGTCCTAGGGCAATGGTGATGCAGCAGTAAATCTTACCTTCCATGCAGAGACCCAGCTTCAGTTCCCAACAGATACTTAGGTGCAGCAGACACACCTCTATTGTTGGAACCTTGTGGGTTGCAGTGATGCTTGTAGACTTAAGATGTACTGGGAAGGAAGGCCTGATAAAACTCGTCCAAAAATATACCAATAAAAATCACAGCAGTTGGGTCTTAACCCATCATGCAGATGGCACTGAATTGGGCAATATTTCATTTTGTTGTTCATAGGTTGCCCTGAGGCTGACTCGATGGCAGCTGAGTATAATCCTGTGACAATGCTAGATACCTGGATCAAATATATATTCTTTTTCATACTGATTTTATGAGTAGAATTTTTAAAATGTAATGATGGCATAATAGTGACTTTCCAGCTAACTTTAAACAATAGCTTTTATTAAATTCCTTATAATTACAAAAATAGTTTATGTTCATTGTAAAAAATTGGGAAATGGAATGTTTATGTATATTTGTTATTCTTTGAATCTTAAAATCCTGTGTGTGTTTATATATAGACTTCATATAAAGAACAAATTACAGTGCTTTTTGATACAGTCTAGAGCCTGAGTTGGTTCCCCCTCCCTGCACTCAATGTATCATGTTACTTTCTTGTTTCATTAAAATATTTCATCTGAAATATTTTTGTTTTGCTAGTAGAATAATATTTGAATAGTTGCCTAGTAACCTGAATGTCAAATAATTTCTATAACAAATCTTTAATATTTAGATTTCCCTGTATATTTTATTATTTACAAAAATACATGTTTCTGAATATATCTATGATTATTTCAACAGTTTACATTCTACACATGAAACAACTAAGTCAATGAAAACATTTTCAATAAGGTGACTTTTAAGCTGCTGATTTATAGCTAAATTTGTTATGGATAGGTAAAAACCCTTAACAAGATGAATTGATACAGTGACCGCAACAGTGGGCTTGAGTCTGGTGAAGGCCCAGGATAGGACAAGGCTTTGATCTATTGTTTATAGGATGATTATGAGTTGTAGTCGACTCAACAGTGCCTAAAAAGACATAGGTAAGATGTATAGTGAAAGCTACTAAGAAATAAAAGGGAAAGTACTTTGGCTAATTAGATATGTAAGTTGCACAATAGGGCAAGGTTTAAATCCATTGAATGTAAGGTCACTGTGAGTCAGAATGACCTCCCCAGTATTTGTTAACACAGTTGTCTCCACAATATCTAACAACACAGAATCTTATTTAAAATATCTGAATATTTAAAATAAGAAAGAAAAAAGATAATTCTGCCTTACAGAGGACTCAGAAATAACATATGTATGTTACTTGTGCAAGGGAAAATATAGTTAGTATGTAAGGTGTGGGCAGCTAAAGGATAGCCCTAACAGTCATAGTTTTGTTACTTTACCATGGAAATGTAATTTTTCATAGACATTTCATCAGTGATAAATAATTTGAAGTTTATGACTATAAATAGTGAACACAAAGATGCAATAATTTTTCTCTTCCCAACTCAGGAGAGATCAGTGACAGTTGTCCAGTTTATCCAGTCATCACTGCAACATTGTCCTTATCAGAGCTAACAGAGACTGTCCAGGAGGCTAGCCAAGAATTGAAGTGTTCTGTGGAACAAAGAAATCTCAGAAACAGAGAAAATTCTCCCTCTTGCCAATCACCTTGCCTTCCCAACGTAAATAAAGAAGGAGAAGAACTAACCAAAGTCAACAGTGGCTCAGAAGCCTGTACAAGTTCTATTCCAAGATTATCCTTTGCTTCAGAAACTCCTTTGGAGAAGGAACTCCATTCCCCAGCTGACCAGCCTGACCAGCAGGCAGAATCCACTCTGACATCTGCAGAAAGCAGAGGAAACAAGAAAAAGAAGAAACTTAGGAAGAAGAAAACACTACGGGCTATTCATGTTCCTGAGAACAGTGACACTGAACAGGATGTAGTTACTGCCAAACCTGTAAGGAAAGCAAAAACTGGAAAGTTAACTAAAGGGGGGAAAGTAACAACCTCCACTTGGGAAGATGGGAGAACGGGCCAGGAACAAGAAAGTGTCAGAGATGAGCCAGACAGTGACTCATCTGTGGAAATCCTAGAAATTCCTAATCCTCAACAAGAGATAGTAGCCATTGATTCTGCTGAATCTGGAGAAGAGAAACCAGACAGCCCATCTAAAGAGGATATCTGGAACTCCACAGAGCAAAACCCACTAGAAACTTCTCGTTCTGGTTGTGATGAAGTCAGCTCCACCAGTGAGATTGGCACGCGCTATAAAGATGGCATCCCTGTAAGGTAAGGATGCTGTGTGTTGGGTCAATCAGAATAACTTTCACCAAACATTAAAACTTTTTTATGAATCAAGTTTCTAAAAGAATTCTTTTAAAAAATACTAAGTATGGCTATGGCAAAATGAATTCTGTTAAAGATCAGATAATCTTGTTTTCTCTTTTGACTGTATTGTAAACATTGATTCCTTTTACTTTGCTTCAGATGGAAAAACTTATTTCTTATGTCGTTATTAGTTTGCCTCATTTAGAAAATATTTTGAGTTAGAACATTTTTACATTTTTTTTCAGTAGTAATAGTTAAATTGATCATAATCATGAATTATAACATTGGATATATTGGGCAAAATAAAATATTAAATTTCAACCTTATATTACTGTTTTTGATTTTGCTAGTTGAAAAAGAACATTTTTACATATTTACTGCCTCTCCTGCTTACACAGATGCTAAGGAGTTTTTTGGTTCTTTTTTAGTGTGGCAGAAACACAGACTGTGATCTCCTCCATAAAAGGATCAAAGAACTCTTCAGGTATTTTCCCCCCTCAATTTTACTTCTTTCAGTTCTTTTTAAACTAAGTAGATAAAAAGACTTCTGTTTATTAGAACCAAGGTTTAAATTAGTTAATCCACATTTAAATCTAGTTAAATATACTATTCAGGGTTTAAAATCTGTTTTGAGAATAGGAAAACTGCATTGATCAGTAGTCATCCTTGGTGTTCTTGCCTTATTCTGCTTCTTATCCCTCTTATTTAGCTTTGTAAAAATGAATTAGTATTGATGTGTCATTGGCTTCACCAGTATTTTCTTTGAAAAAGAATTGCTTTACAAGTATCTTACTCAAATAAATAGCAGGTAGCAGGAGAAGAATGATTTAGAGGGATATTGAGTACCTTCCAGACAGGAGGAAAAAATTCACTAAGGATCTGTCCTTTTTTAAATCCAAAACTTACCATACTAAGGAACTTTATAATGAAGATCATTCATGAAAAATATGGTCAATATCTAGGGAAGTAGCTTTTAAAGAGGTGCTTTAAAAAGAGGTGCACTGCTAAACCAAAGACACCTCTTTCTGGCGGTTTGAATCTACCAACTGGTAGAAAGATGGAGTCATCTCATGTACTATATACAACCTCTTAAAATCCACTGATGGGAGCTCTGGTGATTTAGTGGTGAGGAATTATGCTGCCACTCAAAGGTATGTTGCTCAAATCCACCAGCAGGAGATTCCCAGAGTATGTGGGAGAAAGATGGACAGTCTCCTTCCATGTTACTTACTTTCTCTGAAAAACCACAGGAGGGTCATCTGTGAGTCATTTCTGACTTGATAGTACTCAAGAACAACAACAAAACTCACTGGAGCGTCAGCTAAGAGTCATTTTCTACTTGACAGCAGTGAGTTTTGAGTTTGAACTTTTTTTTGAGTCAACACTACTATATAGTGGTTTTTATTTTTTTAATTTCTCTCCCCCACCCTGAAAAAACACACCAGAAAATAATGTCTTTGAAACATATTTTTGTTTTCTAGAAATATCTTCAGAGCCAGGAGATGATGATGAGCCCACAGAAGGGAGCTTTGAGGGGCACCAGGCTGCAGTGAATGCAATACAAATATTTGGGAACTTACTGTATACCTGCTCAGCAGATAAAACTGTCCGAGTTTATAATCTGGTGGTAAGTTGATGTATCTGTTTGGATGATTTTGTTTGCAAGTTATGGAAAATTGAACATGCTCTCTTTTAAATTTTACTTGCTATTCATCTGAGAGCTGGACAGTGAATAGAGGTGACAGAAGAATTTTTGAGCTGTTATGTCAGAGAAGAGCACTGAACAACCTGTGGACGGCCAAGAGAACAAACAGATATGTCTTGGAGAGGATATAGCCTGAGTGCTCTTTGGAGGCAAGAATGATGAGCCTTCATGTCACATACTTGGGCATGTTGCTAGGAGGGGCTGGCTGTTCTTTGGAGAAAGCGACATGGTGCTTGAAAGGATGGAGGGTTGGCAAAGGAGAGGAAGATACTCAATCAGGTGGTTGACACAGTGACTGCTGCAGTGGGTTCTAATGTGTTAGGAAGAGTGAGTATGGCACAGGATAGGACAGGGTTCAGATCTGTTGTTCCTGGGGTTGCTATGAGTTGTACTCAACTTGATGACACCTAACAATAAATCTTTTAAGAAGTTGAGATTTTGTTTTTAAAAAACGCAACAGAAGCAGTTACTGTTGAGTGGGTTGCAACTCATGCTTACCTCACATGTATCACAGAGTTTTCAGTGGCTGGGTTTTTTAAATGGTTAAAAGGGAATCAGATTGCCAGGTCTTTCCTCAGAGTCACCTCAGATGGACCTAAATCTCCAAGCCTTTGTTAAGCATATTCATTGTCCACCAAGGTAGACACTCCTCAAACAATAATTAAAAGCTGTATCAAGGAGTCCTAGTAGTATACTGATTAAAGTACTTGATACTAATAGAATGGTAGGCAGTTTGAACTTGTCAGCCCCTCCATGGGAGAAAAATCTTAGCAAGCTGCTCTCATAAAGATTTTGGCCTCAGAAACTTTATGGGGCAGTTCTACTCTGTTCTGTAGGTCACTGAGTCAGAATAGTCTTGGCAGCTTGCAGCAACAGTATTGGCTGTCAGTAGGATGGGCTTGATTCAGCAGTTTAGCAAGTTACAGAAGACTTAGTTTCTTTTCATCTTCCCATTTAACCTTCTCTGATACTGCCTTTTTCTAGAGTTACTTCCCCTTCTAAGATTGTTGCCTGGAGCCCACCACTGAAGTCCTGTACATTATTACTTCCTGAGCTAGTCACATGTAGCAAGACTAGGGAGATTACACTGATAGACTTGACTAAATAGGTCCTATCCGTGGACTTGGTGATGATGTTACTGTCATAACTATTGGACAGTAGAAAAGGAGCAAAATAAACACTGGAGAGATTTTAGAGGAGAAAAGAGTTCCTAGATGAGTCAGTAGTTAAGTTTTGGACAATGAGAGGCTGATGGTATATAATCAGTCAGTGGTGCCTTAGAACTAAGGCCTGGTGATCTGCTTCTGAAAAGTCACAGCCTTGAAAACCCTATGTCATAGTTCTTCTCTGCACCCTGGATTGTGCTTTGAGGTGGAATAAACAGCAAATAACAATAACTCAGTGCCATAGAATGATGCTGACTCTCCATTAAATTTATGGGAGGAGAAAGCCATCTTCTGAGGAGTGGTGGATAGCGGAGACATTTCTCATGATAGTTAATAAACTACAAAATCAAATTGGCAAGGAAAGCACTACCTTTTCACTACACCACTGTTAGTATAATCTGATGTTTATTACTCTCAATCTTCCTAAAAATTTGAGTATTGAACATGGTCTAAATCATATTAATTATTTTTATTAGCAGTCATAACCAATGTAGGAACACCATTTTGTCCAAACACACACAATAGAAGTATTTGAGTAAAATCATAGATGATTGGCCAAAAAAAATAAAGTGTTGACATAGACATGGATATAAGTTCTTTTAGCCTAATAACATAATGGGGGTGATGAGTGATGAGCAAAAAGTATGGATGCCAAGAAGTAAAAGAAAAAAAATCCCCCCACAACCCACTGCAGTTCAGTCAGTGCTGACTCACGGTGGCCCTCTATTGAGTTTTTGAGGTTGTAAATCTTAATGGGCGTAGACTGACTCCTCTTTCTTCCATAGAACAATTGTTGGATTAGAACCAGTGCTGTTTTGGTTGGCTGTCAGATATGTTACCCAGTATGCCACCAAGCTCCTCCATTATAAAAATGTCTAAATAAAATTTGGGAGATCAGTCTTAACTCTAAATTGTAAGAAATGCAGTGTGTACTTTCTAAGTAGGATCTCAGAATGGTAGAACTTCATGTTATGTGCTGAGTTGCCTGCCACTCATAATGACCCTTTGTACAATAGCTCTAAACTCTGCTCTATTCTGAGCCAGTCTCACTGTCTTTGACACACCCATCTCACCTGGGTCTTCCTTTCCTGAGCTGTCTCTTACCCTTCCAAGCATGATATCCTTCTAGGATTCATCCCTCCTGGCCACATGCCCAAAGTGAGGTAGAGCCTTAAAATCCTAATCTCTAAGGAGCAGCCTGGTTTTACCCTTTTAAGGATAAATCTGTTTGTTCTCTTGGCAGTCAGTCGTATGTTCTATACTTATCTCCAGCATCACACTCAAAGGCATCAATTCTTTTATCATCTTTGGTCATTGTCCAGCTCTCTGGTGCATAGCAAGTATTTGTCAAGACCATGACCTTAATCAGGTGTATCTTAGTCACCAGACTGACATTGTTGCTCTTCACTTTTGAGAAGACCTTGACAGCAGCTTTCCCAAGAGCAATTGATCTTTTTAATTTATTGACTGCTGATGCAAAAAAATGTTAATTGTGGAGCTGAGCAAGCTGAAATTGTTAACAAACTCAAATCCCTTTTGAAATCACAGCTAGACTACTAAAAACTGTGATGGCACCTGCATGACTTTAAATATTACAGAGGGTTCACTTACTGTACTGATCAAATACAGGAACTTACCTAGGTAACACTTTCCAGTTTAGATTTGCTGGTTCTTGACCAGAGGTTAGAGAGCCTTACCATGGTATTAATTTAGTTTATCTTATAATGAATTGCTCTGCTGTGAGGTTTTTTTTTGGCGTTTTTTTTAAATATAGCTTTGCTAACTTAAGATGGCTTTATCTTAGTACTTGTGCGTGTTTGATAAGCATTCAGAGAACAAATACTTGAGTATCTTTTATGTGCCGGGCACCATGCTTTACATTGAAGGTACAGAAGTGCATAGTATTTCTGAAAAAAAAAAAAAAAAAGAAGTGCATAGTATTTCTAGTACCTTTTTGTTGAGTGAGTGCATTATTACTTACTCCTTCTATATCCTACAAGTAATTACCTGGTCTGTGTCTGCCTTTAGAGTCGGAAATGCATAGGTGTCTTTGATGGCCACACCTCTAAAGTGAATTGCCTTCTAGTGACTCAGACATCTGGAAAGAATGCTGCCCTTTACACTGGTTCCAGTGATCACACCATTCATTGCTATAATATTAAGGTAGGTGGGTCCACAGAAATATAAAAAACTTTAGATGGAGTTGATGTAGCAGCTCAGTAGTGTCACAGGGAACTTAATTTCTTTTTTTGGCTCTTTACTGTGCCTTTCATGGTTGCCTGGAATGATAGGGGAATTACTGAAAGACAGTATGAAGCAACATTTGGCTTGTGATAGTGGTTACACAAATGTGTCCCTTATCAAAGCTTAATGAAATGTGTGTGTGTGTGTGTGTGTGTGTGTGTGTGTAGTATAGGTGAATTTTTTATCTAAACATACAAATATAATTCTCATTTGAGAAATGATTTATCAGTAAAGCTTGAAACAAATCATAAACAAATTTGGTAATAATCCTAAGAAAAACAGGGAAAAATAATTCTACTGTAAGATAGGATAGACATAGGTTTAATATATGGTGTTTAGGCCTTTGCGAAAAATGCATGTTTCTGTATAAATTAACAGAAAAATGTACCTTAAAATGAGGAAATACAAATAACCATTTGAAAGCAATACAGTTTGCCAGTAAATGGAAATGGAAACACAAGTACCGTGCCATTTTTGACTCATAGAATTAGCAAAAAAAATTTCTTAGACTTTTTTTTTTTACTGTTTTTTTATAGCTCTAAATCAATGATATTTGGCATAGTGGAACTATTTTTAATGCAAAAACATACCATTTTTTAAAAAATTGGCATATAAGTTGATGCAGTAAAGTACACAAATTTTAAGTTTGATGAATTTTTACATAAGTATTCATTTGTATAGCAGACACCAAGATCAAGCTAGAAACCATTTCTGTTCCCCTAAAAATTCCCTCATAAGAACCCCCTCAAAGGTAGCCGTTGTTCTGGCTCCTGGCGTTATAGTTTCCTTTTTTCCGGGTTTGAACTTCAAATTGCATGTATTCTTTCATGCCTAGATAGCACAGTGTCTGCAGTTCGGTTATGTTGTGCATGTAGCGATGCTTTCTTTTTCATTGTTAGCAGTATTCACCTTTCCCCATTAAATTATAAATAGACTTCATAGGAATAACCAGAGGCAACGTGCATCTTAACTTGACCATATTTGCTCTTTCTTAAAGATTTATCATTTTTTAGTTTTATTTATAATTTTATGGGGGAAATACTAAAAGATTAGCTCTTTTAGGTACAAAAAGATTGGGGTAAAAGTTAAAGGTTTGATCTGAACTATATGTGTCCATCTTGATTTTGACATCTGTATTCAGACCCCCTTCCTCACCCCGCCAGTTTTATTTTAACTGATGGTTATAGATAGACTTAAGATTGTGTTGCAAGCAGCCACATCCATGGACTGCACATACTCTTCAAAAGCAGTTATCTGTTCTTTCAGCATATCTGTGCCAACTTTATCATCTTCAACTAAACACTGTATTTGAAACTTCTTAATTCCATATCTTACCAGTACTAGCTTAGAAAAGCCTTAGACCAAGCCATCTACCTAAATACTTCTAACACACTCTTACACACTCTCACACTCTTACAGTTTTGCCGTGTCAGTGTCATCATCCCAAGGCTTTACATCTAGTGAGATTAAAGACTTGGCAACAAGTACAGGTTTTTTGGCTTTCTTTGATTCATGCTGTGCAAGATGTTCTTCTCTTAGCTTCTTTGCTTCCACACTTTCTCCTTCTCCTCAGATCCAAGACATTGAGGTCATCAGTTTACTCTCTGCAGCTACACTTCCTGTGGTATCTTCCACATTAGCAAGGTCGTATTCGCCCAAAGATTTCTTCACTCCTGGCAGGCTGCCCTTTTCCTTCCCATAAGATTTTATGTGATTATACCAAATACAGCATGACACAGGTCAGCAGGTGAGGGGTGGAGATAACTTCAAACAACGCCGATGTAGCTCTTGTCGGCTTGGTGATCATTGACCTGGAGGCCAGCAGCAGTGTTGAGGTTCCTAAAGCCCTTGATGTTGGCTGTATTTGGAGTTAGGCAGCAGTGGAGGACAAGAAGAGGGGAGGAAGTCAGCTCCAAGCACTCATAGAGGAGGGGAAAAGGGTATCTAGGCTTTTTAAAAAAACTGTCTTCAGTCATGCAATATCATTCGACTGATATTGAGTACTTACTATGTGTGGCCCTAGACTAGGTTCTAGGTGATATAATTTGTTACTTTTACCCAGTTTTGAGAAATTAATGGAAATAACATCTTGTCATTCAAAACAAATAATGATTCTTAAATCTGAATGTGCATCAGAATGATAATGACTTTTTTTATTATTATTAAATTTTATTAGTTTTAATGAACATTTACAGAGATTTTGGGTTTTCATTCATTCATTGTTGCACTGTTTTCTCCACCCTCCTCCCCAGTTCGTTCTTCTTCCCCCGCCGAATGTCTGTTTTAATTGTCCAGTTGCCACAGTGCTTGTCAAAGCCAGCAGAATGATAATGACTTTTTAAAAAATATTGATTCCAGAATTGACTGAACTAAAATTTCAGAACTTGGGAATGAAACTTGTGGGATTTTTTTTGTTTGTTTTGTTTTGTTTCCTGAGTTATTATGACATGAGGACTAAAGATAAGCTAATTTGGTACCAATTTAAAGGAAGTATTTAGGAGTCATTAAAATAGACAAATAACCAAAGGAATGTACATATTAGATTAATATAAATACCAAATATGTAAATATAACTAATTTTAGATTAAATGTCAAATGTTGCTTTATCTTTTTCTTTTACCACATAATTTGAAAGACTGAGACCCAGTTTATTCTGGTCTGTAAAGAATTTCTATATTCCAAATAGAAACAGGAATAGCATTATTAAAATAATAATGTGTAACATTATTGTAATAATGAGTAAATTATCAGAATTCTGTTTGCTTTTATTGTTACCTACAGTTTCTAGGTTTGGGGCTTTATGTTTTTAAATGGAGGGGAAATCTAAAATAGTACTGTACGAAAGAAAAGATGCTGCATTTTTTTTTCTCTTAAGAATAATTTCCAGCAGGCTGTGGTTCCAGAGGACTTGCTTTCACACTCTCTATGCCATTACCCTCTGATGACTAGGCTTTGTGTATTTTACCAGACCCGGGAGTGTGTGGAGCAGTTGCAGCTGGAAGACCGGGTTCTCTGCCTCCACAGTAGATGGCGAATCCTCTATGCTGGTCTCGCAAATGGCACTGTAGTCACCTTCAACATAAAGGTTGGTGACTGGAGGAGAGAAGGCTGAATTCGTATGTTACTTAAAAATAGTATGTTATATGTGAGTGGAACAGAAGGTGGCACGCATTTTCTTTTTTTTTTTTTTTTTTTTTTTGGTATAAAGAGGCAACAGAATTAGCCTCTAGCCAAAAGCTGTTCTCTTCCAATTGAACCGAAACAGAATCCTCCTTTCTGTTTGCTCAAGTTCAAATGTACCGGGACCCAAATGTAACTCAGGTACAGTAAGCCAGATCTGAAGATTTGTGGCCAAATAATGAGTCAGAAGCTACCTAAGTGTATTTAATTTTAAGAATGATGCCATGAAAAAAGAACTTTAATGCTTTTGAGTATGACGTTGATGTGGTTTGAGATTGGTTAAGGGTTTCGTGAATATAGCTTATTCACCATGGTTTAATCAGTCAGGGGTTTGCCTTCATATCCATGTGACCTCATTTTCCCCATCTCAAAGATAAAAACCTAATTAGGATAAAGGTGGTATGAGTTGACACTACATGTGGTCCTATAATTTTAAGAGTTTTGCCACCACTGGAATGAGAAATGTCAAGAGCACAGCAAAGACAGGATGGGAATGGCAGCAGTTGGAAAATTCAGAATAGAATGGATATGAGAATTTGAGTACAGTTAATAGAGTTGAGACTTTGTACTCAGGCATTCTTTCTGTTTGTTTTAAGGCTTCCCAAATGCTTTTACATCAAGTAAAAGTGACTTCTTTTTCAGAACAACAAGCAACTTGAGGTCTTTGAATGCCATGGTCCTCGGGCTGTCAGCTGTCTTGCCACAGCTCAAGAAGGTGCCCGAAAGCTGCTGGTTGTAGGATCTTATGACTGCACCATCAGTGTTCGTGATGCACGGAATGGACTGCTCCTCAGAACGTTGGAGGGCCATAGCAAAACCATTCTTTGCATGAAGGCAAGTATAGTAAAAGAGAGCAGGAACTGTCTGGTTCAAATGGAATACTTTTGAATGACATTTCCTGCATTGTTTAATGCATTATTTAGAACAGCAGAAGAGCAAGAATTATTTTAATCCTGTCTCTATTCTTAAATAGAGTGATACACTATTATTTTTAATGTTAAACTGAGAAACAACAAAAGTACATCTCAGTGTAAAATATACATATTCTTTAATGCCTCTCTGGGCTAGTTGTTAATTATTCTCAAGAGGCAGCATACCCTGTAACATATGACTGATTTACCAGAGTGCCTGGTGATGGGGGTGGGTAAGTTCCAGTTGAGGAAAATTGTCTGAGAAACTTAATATACCTTGATAATGTTACCTCAAAGTAAGAAGAAAATTGAATTTGCCAATGTTTGGTACTCATTCCAGAGGAAACTCAGAATCTTATACTAAATTGAACTCACTGAATTTTCTTCTTTAAGGTGGTGAATGACCTTGTGTTTAGTGGCTCCAGCGACCAGTCAGTTCATGCCCACAACATTCACGTAAGCCATGTTGATGTAGTGTAAACAATAAACAAATCTTGAATAGAAGTGGCAGATAAAGGATTCTCAAACATCTACTCATTTAAGCTCTTTACTCAGTGAAAAGATTTATAATAATTCCTGTGCTTAAGCTCTTGGATAATGTGAAGCACCTTAGACATTTTTACATCACCAGAAATTTTAATGGGGACAGACTCAGATGTTTAGTTTAACTTGAGATAAACTGAGCATCTAAAGTTCTAAAAATAGATATGATTTGTAGCTTAAAATAGATACATGAAACAACAGAGATACTGTTCAGATCACACAGCCACTGTAGTTGAATAGAAGTTGAATAGAATATTTACTTGAGGTAAATAAATCACTTCAGTTGCTGTAATCAAGGATGCTTTGGGCAGAATATTAAATGATCCAGGAAGTATTAAAAGAAGATGGAAGGAATGTACTGAGTCATTATATAGAAAGGAATTGGCAGATACAGAGGAATTTAAAGAAATAACATATGAGCAAGAGCCTATGGTGATGAAGGAAGAAGTTCAAGCTGCTTTGAAGGAAATAGCAAAAACTAAGGCCCCAGGGATAGATGGTATACCAATTGAAGTATTTCAGATAACAGATGTTGCCCTGGATGTGCTCACCAAGTTGTGCCAAGAAATCTGGAGAACAACCACTTGGCCAACTGACTGGAAGAGATCTATATTTGTTCCCATTCCAAAGAAAGGTGACCCAACTGAGTGTGGAAACTACAGAACAGTGTCATTGATTTCACATGCAAGCAAGATTCTACTGAAGATCATCCAAAAACGATTAGAACAGCACATCAGCAGAGAACTGCCGGAAGTCCAGGCTGGGTTTAGAAGGGGTCGTGGTACTAGGGATATCGTTGCTGATGTTAGATGGATCTTGGCTGAAAGCAGGGAATACCAGAAGAATGTCTATCTGTGTTTCATTGATTATGCAAAGGCATTTGACTGTGTGGATCATAACAAACTGTGGCTGACTCTGAGAAGAATGGGAATCCCAGAACATTTAATTTTGCTAATACGAAACCTATACTTGGACCAAGAGGCAGTAGTCAGAACAGAGCAGGGTAACACTGCATGGTTCAAAATTGGGAAGGGTGTACGCTAGGGATGCATCCTGTCTCCATACCTTTTCAACATGTATGCAGAGCAGATTATCCGAGAGGCTGGGCTCTATGAGGAGAATTGTGGCATCAGGATTGGTGGAAGACCTATTAACAATCTCCGTTATGCAGATGACACAACCTTGCTTGCTGAAACGGAGGAAGACCTCATGCACTTGCTGTGAAGGGTCAAGGACTGCAGCCTTCAGTATGGACTGAGGCTCAATGTCAAGAATACAAAGATTCTCGCCAGTGGAACAATTGACAGCGTCAGGATGGATGGTGAAGAGATTGAGATTGTTCACAGCTTCAGTTTGCTCGGCTCCACAGTCAACACTCTTGGCACCAGCAGTCAGGAAATAAAAAAGCGTATCGCGATGGGAAAGTCTGCTGTTAGGGACGTCTCTAAAGTACTCAGGAGCAACAGTGTCTCTCTGGAGACTAAGGTACGCCTGATACAGGTCATGGTATTTGCAATCGCTTGTTATGCATCAGAGAGTTGGACAATGACTAGGGAGGACAGAAGGAGAGTGGATGCTTTTGAGCTGTGGTGCTGGAGAAGGGTCCTGAATGTACCATGGACTGCCAGGAAAACAAACAGATTCATCTTGGAGAGGATTAAGCCAAGCTACTCCTTGGAGGCAAGGATTCTGGGGCTTCGTCTGACATACTTTGGACATGTTGCCAGGAGGGACGGGTCCTTGGAGAGGGACATGATGCTTGGGAGGGTGGAGGGACAGCGCAGGAGGGGAAGACCCTCTATGAGATGGATTGATTCGGTGACTGGGGTAATCGGGATGGGTGTGTCAGAAGCGGTGCAGTTGGCACAGGATAGAGCAGGGTTTAGAGCTGTTGTGCATAGGGTCGCTATGAGTCGGAAACGACTCAACGGCACATAACAACAACAACAACAATGCTTATTCAACATTTTAGTTTATAAATCTGGGAATTATCCTACCTCAGTTATCTTAACCATGTCAGCCAAATTGAATGAGATGATAAACATACTTAGAAAGCTGTAATATAGATAGATAGTATTGGTTTTTTGTTTTTTTTTTACGTGTGTACCGTCAAATCGGATCTGACTGGTACAGGAGGTGATTGTTCCTCCTTCTTCAGCAGAGCATCTGGTGGATTTGAACCGTGCACCTCTGGGATTGATAGATAGATAGTATTGTAGCTCCTCTCTGTGGCACTGAATTTTCTTTTTCTGGATGTATTTTACATATTTGGAATAGGTAACAGATATTTGAATACTTTATCTAAAATGAATTTGCCCCAAAAAAGTGAATTTGCCTCTTAGAACTATAAAATTTTAAAAATCTCAAAAGTTGAGAAGAGTACTAAAATCTGCTCTAGTCATAAAGACCTTTCACAGAGGAAGATACCAAACACATGAAGAAATGATCAAAATCACTGGCAATAAGAGATGCAAATTATAACCATAGTGAGATAACCATCTCACCCCAGTAGCAGTGGCAGAGTAAAACAGGACAGCAAGTAATGTTGGAGAGGATGTGGAAAGATAGAAACTCTTATACACTGTTAGTGGAATTTTAAAATGATACAACCACTCTAGAAGGCAGTTTGGTGTTTCCTCAATGAACTGAATGTAGAAATTCCATAAGATCCAGATATTCCACTGTTTGAAATATACCCCGAGAGAATGAGAACTGAGGCACAAATGGAGATTTATACACCATTGTTCATAGCAGCATTATTCACCACCTCCAGAACATGGAAACAGCCAAAATGACCAACCACAATCGAATGGATTGAGAAATTATGGTACATTCACACAGCACGTAGGAGCAAAGATTTTGAAAATTACTACCCAACTTGAGAGGGACTACAGAGCATTATGCTAAGTCAGCTCACTCAGTCCGATAAGGACAAATTCTGTATAAGACCATTATTGTAGAAATAGATAACTAGTAAAATGTGTATGAGGATCTAAGAGAGGATAGCAGAGGGGTGAGGATGGGCCGAGAGTTTGGTAATCTTAGGGTCGCACAATTTAGATGGTGGAGGGAAGGAAGAGTTAGGGAGATTGGAAAGATCCAGTGTGAAAAACACTGTATATGAACTTTGTGAGTAAGCCAGTATAAAATAAAAATTTTATTAAAAAGAGAAAAAAAAGATCTAATGACTCCTCACCTCTCTTCTGGTTCAGACTGGTGAGCTTGTGCGCATCTACAAAGGTCACAGTCATGCCGTGACTGTGGTGAATATCCTAGGAAAAGTGATGGTGACCGCTTGCCTAGACAAATTTGTTCGAGTCTATGAATTACAGGTAAAACTTTAGATTTGATATTTTTGGCTGAGTGATTTTGCAGAGGTTGTCTACTTGAGTTTGTTGTTGATTTTTGATACAATAAGTCTGGGGTGAACCTAGCATGAAGAAACTGATTTATGGACCTTACTTTCAAAAACATTGCTGATAGATAGATAGATAGATAGATAGATAGATAGATAGATAGATAGATAGATAGATAGATGATACAGTTATACCTTAGGATTCCTGAGGGATGGATTCCAAACTCTGCAAATGTTCAAATCCCTTAAATAAAATGGTGTAAATGTGCATTTAACCTATGCACATTAAAGTATCTTCTTACATACTTTAAATCATCTCTGTATTACTTGAAATACCTAGAACAGTCAATGTAAATTGCATATTCACTTCCTGTTAGTTTTTGATGAGTTGTCTTGACCACTTAATTGCTTTTCCCCCCTTCCTTTTTATCAAATATTTTTGATCCATGGTTGTATGTAAATAAAAAACCAAACTCATTGCTGGTGAGTGGACTCCAACTTGTGTTGACCGTGAGATTTCCGAGGCTGTAAGGATGAGCAGATCGCTTCATCTCATCTTAGCAGCCCAACTCTTGACTTGTTTATACTCCGAAGGCTCTTAGTGCTTAAATGGTTTCTGGAGAACTAAAATCTTTTTTGTTCTCTTTATATGCAATTTCATGTTTCAGACTTCAACTCTACCTAGCAATTGATTCTCTTATTTGTGATTGTCGACTACAACAAAACTGACTGGAAAGACTGCCATTAGCTCATATTTCTTTTATGGTACTAGTGACTCGTCTTTAGACTAGTTTACAAGTATAAATAACCTTCATTTTCTGCCTGTTTTTTTCTCCCTCTGCCTAAGTCCCATGATCGATTGCAAGTTTATGGAGGACACAAAGACATGATTATGTGTATGACCATCCATAAAAGTATGGTGAGTTTTATTGGTCACATACTTGCCTTTGTTTTTATTAAAAATTCTACAGACTGATAAAAAAGGTACTGGTTATTACTTCTAAAAGGTACCATCTGTTTTGATATGCCTTATTTATGAAAAGCCTTTCTCTTTATATAAAAATAGTGAGAATATTTCACCTTTTTTCATAATTGCTAAAATAATTACAACAAAAATCTTAATAGTCACCATTAAAAAGTGATATAAAAGTACTGGCTCTAAAGGACACCCTTCCATAGCAAGGAAGGTGTAACTTAGTGGGGCAGTTATTCTCTTCTTTTTATATATAGAAAGGATTATTTAAAAATTTCAGGTTGACTTTCCTTTCACAGATACTCATTATTCTTTGCAATTTCTAAATAAAACCACTTGATAGAAAAAAAAAATGGAGTGGTAATTTTTCCAGATACTGTGATCTGGTCAGAACATTGGAATGAAGTCAGACAATTTGGCAAGTGTCACAGTTAACAGCAGACCTAAAAGTAGAAACTAATGTGTTTGACCCTGCTAAGCCTTGGTTTATTTTATTTTTAAAATCATAGAGACCAACCACAACAGATATTTTTCAACTGAGCAGTAGAATGCTGTGTTTCAGTGAAATACAGAAGCCTAATATATCTGACTAATAGAAGCCACAGCTGCACCAGTTAAAGTATAAGGATGATGCTTCTCACCCTGCTACTCTGGTCTCAGTCATGGCCCCAAGAGAGTACCTTAGGAGCATAGTGTCTGAATTAGAAAATCTGCAAAATCCTTTCCTGTTCTTGTACTCTGGGCCTGGTTTGGTTTAGTTTAGATTAGTGGTCTTGTAGCTGTAGACTATTACTTTGAAGATGCTGTGTGTTTGTTTTTCTAAATGTGATTTTGGTCTGCTATAATTAACTTCCTTCTCCAGATCTATACTGGCTGTTACGATGGCAGTATTCAGGCTGTGAGGCTAAATCTGATGCAGAATTATCGCTGTTGGGTAAGAAGTTAAACTTAACTTGCCACCATATTTAGGAATTGTTATCCCTAGGCTAATTTGTAGATCTTCATTATCATCAGTTTATCATTTTTATATTTTAACATCTTTATGGCTTTGACTGTAAAACAAGATTTCCTTTTTAAAGATTGACATTTAAAAATAAAGCAAAGTGCTGTCATATTTCTTTAATAAAAAGTCCAAGACAAAGTGTATATTTAAATATATTCTTTCTACTCAAAGATTGTCTCCTAGATTATTTTTATAGTGTTTTTAATTGTAAAAATAATAAATTTTTATCAAAATGTTCATAATACAGAAGTCAAGAATAGAAAGTATGAGTGTTTCTTTTCATGATTTGCATCCACTCCTTAGGAATTACAGATGTTATTAGTTTTGTGTTTATCCTCATTAGTATAGAAAATTTATAGTTTTGTGTTCTACACCTCACTTATCTGGGCTAAATTTCCTGGTTTTATTTTGGGATAGGGACTGGTGGTGAACTCTCCAAACTAACACCAATCCTGATAAAGAAATGATATGTTGTTTCTTCACTTTTGTCCAAAGAAAAGTTTTGATGGCACTGATTGCTCCTCCCATCACCTGAACCTTCTAACCTTTCCAGCATTGATGGAATAAACTCCATTTTAGGCCTTTCCATAGCCTAAATACTTTTCTATTTTTAAAATACACTCCTATCAAATCCAAAACCTCTGTAAAAAAAAAATAATAATAAAATTTTAAAAAAAGAGTGAGGAGGAAATGGAGAAAACAAAATAAAAAACAAATATTTTCCAGTAAAAAAAAATACACTCCTATCTTTGTTTTAGTTTTCTCAGTGAAGACAGCAGTTTTTAGAATATACAGATAGAAAATGGATCTATGTAGAAAAAGGAGAAGCTACTTTTCTGGATTTAAAAGGAGAGCATAGTACAGGGGAAACATAAATTTACATTACTTTTTAGAAGTGAACATGTTATAATCACAAGATGTATTACAAACAGATCTATGAAAAAGCCAAGACAGAAAGGGCATTATGTGTTCTAAGAAGTGAAAAAGTGAAACCGACCTGCATAAGTTAGAGGGTTTTTTTAAAAAGTAGGTAATCACAAGATTGTGGTTAAAATGATAGGTTATGGGTAAAGTTAACCTTCCATGGCAAACAGTGCTTTCTACAGCACATCTGTCTACATAGATAGTTTTTTTAATTAGACCTTTGTATTTTCAAGTTCATAAATAAACACTTTTTGAATTATTAGGAAATAATCTTTATAAGTAGTATAAGAACATTTTTTGCCTTTTTAAAATAAATGGGCTAATAAAAAAAATAACTGAGGCAGAATCTCATTTATGGTTTAAACTGACATTTTTGTTAACGCAGATGGATCTTAGCTGAAAGCAGAGAATACCAGAAGAATGTCTATCTGTGTTTCATTGATTATGCAAAGGCATTTGACTGTGTGGATCATAACAAACTGTGGCTGACTCTGAGAAGAATGGGAATCCCAGAACATTTAATCGTGCTAATGTGAAACCTACACATGGACCAAGAGGCAGTAGTCAGAACAGAGCAGGGCAACACTGCATGGTTCAAAATTGGGAAGGGTGTATGCCAGGGATGTGTCCTGTCTCCATACCTTTTCAACCTGTATGCAGAGCAGGTTATCCGAGAGGCAGGGCTCTGTGAGGAGAAGCGTGGCATTAGGATTGGTGGACGATCTATCAACAATCTGTGTTATGCAGATGACACAACCCTGCTCGCTGAAACTGAGGAGGACCTCATGCACTTACTGCAAAGGGTCAAGGACTGCAGCCTTCAATATGGACTGAGGCCCAATGTCCAGAAGACAAAAATTCTCACTACTGGACCAATTGGTAGCATCAGGGTGGATGGTGAAGAGATTGAGATTGTTCACAGCTTCAGTTTGCTTGGCTCCACAGTCAACACTCTTGGCACCAGTAGCCAGGAAATCAAAAAACGTATTGCGATGGGAAAGTCTGCTGTTAGGGACCTCTCTAAAGTACTCAAGAGCAACGGTGTCTCTCTGGAGACTAAGGTGCGCCTGATACAGGCCATGGTTTTTGCAATCACTTGTTAGCATCAGAGAGTTGGACATTGACTAGGGAGGATAGAAGGCGAATTGATGCCTTTGAGCTGTGGTGCTGGAGAAGAGTACTGAATGTACCATGGACTGCCAAGAAAACAAACAGATTCAGCCTAGAGAGGGTTAAACCAGGCTGCTCCTTGGAGGCAAGGATTCTGGGGCTTCACCTGACATACTTTGGACATATTGTAAGGAGAGACAGGTCTTTGAAGAGGGACATCATGCTGGGTAGAGTAGAGGGACAGCGCAGGAGGGGAAGGCCCTCTATGAGGTGGATTGATTCAGTGACTGGGGTAATTGGGATGGATGTGTCAGAGGCAGTGAGATTGGCACAGGATAGAGCAGGGTTTAGGGCTGTTGTACATAGAATCGCTATGAGTCGCAAGCGACTCGATGGCACATAACAACAACAACAATCTTTGAATATTTGCCAGTCGTTTCCTCATATGTGTAGCACAGCAACTGAATTAAAAATTTTTCCAAGGTATCTCTTGATAATTTGTTTACTTAACAACAACAACAGCTTTGTTACATTTTCTAGCAAGGAATACATTTTTTTAAAAGGTGATTATTTTCTGCTTCCAGACTGGGGGGAGATGAGCAAATTTCTGGTTGCACATTACTTGTACTTTTTAACTGAGTTGTCTTATTATTTTTTTTGTCTAGTGGCATGGCTGCGCTTTAATATTTGGTGTCATGGATCATTTGAAACAACACTTGCTTACTGACCACACTAATCCTAACTTTCAAACTCTGAAGTGTCGCTGGAAGAACTGTGATGCTTTTTTCACTGCTAGGAAAGGATCTAAACAGGTTTGTTAGTAGAACTTGAGTTTAACCTGGGGCTCAGTAGCCTGCTTAGAGCAGGACTTTACAGACGACAGCACATAGGCCAAATCTAGCTCCTTGTTTGGTTTGGTAAATAAAATTTTATTGGAACATAAACATACTTGTTTGTTTATACATTGTGGTGTTGTTGGGTAAGTTGTGACAGATACTGTAGAGCTGGCAAAGCCTCCAGTATTTTCTTTCTGGCTTAGAGGATAACTTTGTTGAATTTCACAGTTGGAAAATTTGGTTGATTATTGAATACATCCCATTCCATTTTAAGGGAACTTTGGTAGTCTGTTGGTAAGGAGCCATGCTGCAGTCCCACAGGCACTCAGTTTGAATCTACCAGCTGCTTTAAAGATGAGCACTCCTATATGATTAAAATTCTGAAAATTCACTGGAGGGTAAGCTGTGAATCAGTTTTGGCTTGACAGTACACAGCGCCACAGTCATTTTTAAGGAAAAAAATATTCAAATGCCAGATGAGATTTTTTATTGTACCCCTTTTGCAATTGAGCTGGTTTTTGTCTAAATAAGACAAGAAACTCTCACATTCTTTTGCCTTACAGGAATGTTGAGATTTGGAGCAAATAGGGAGGGTTACATTTTTACTTTTTAGAAAAAAACTGGTATTCATAACAAGGTTTCAGAGGAGAAATTAGGTGGTTTGGGGTAAAGAGTTTAACAAGAATGTTGAACATGGTTTCAGTCTAGTATCTCAATCTAGAGGTTTATTATTATTCTGTTGTGCTAAGATAAAAGCCCACTTTTAAATAAGTCATGTAAATTAGTCAGATACAGGCTAATGATTGCCTTTCAAATATAGATCTTATTTAGAATGTACCCAGGACTCTACTTTCATTTGACCACCTACAGTTTGCTTTACCACGAGCTCTTTCTTATGAATCTCTTTTCCCTTTATTCCTAGGACGCTACAGGACACATTGAACAACATGTTGAAGAGGACAGCAAAATTGATTCATAAAGTTTTTTACCTCCCATGTTGGGAAGTCATTAATTGACTCTTTTCATGTTAGACCCTCATAAGCCTTTCTTTTCCCTTCTCCAGGGAAGCAGGGAAGGAGAAAGTGGTTCCCATGCCAGGCTTCCCAGTTACCATGGGGTGATAGATTAAACTTTAAGTTCTTGCTGGAGGTTTGTCAGATTTAAACAAAATTGTACTTCTCTGAGGCAGTATGGTATAGTGATTTATGCTACTAGTGTATTTCAAATGTTTATTAAAGATCCAAATCTTACTTGGTTATCCTAATAACACATAGAGTTTATTGATTTTTTTTTTTCATTCTGATAGTTTAAACCTATAGTCAGACTTTTTGAAGTACAAGTTCAAGTTACAGGCTTTCAGAGGCAGTTTTCATTTCATTTCTTAACAATTATGTGTAGTTTGTCTCAGTGTTCTTGGCATTGTAGATGAACAGCACTGCCTTTAGACACTAAAAGACGAATAGTAGATTCTAAGATCTAGAATAACTGCTCTGCTTGCTATATTTAAGGATTCAAAATGCAGATCACATAATGAGAGGTCCTCGTAGACAGTGCTTCCTAGTGGACCTTGCAGGTTTTAATGGTGTGCTCATTGTAGGCAGCACACAGACTTTTACATTTTGCTGTTGATCCAGGCTCTTCCTCCTGCAGGTACTCTCAGGCTAATTGAACTGGAGTGACATTCATCTTCTTTTCTCATTTCTGACACCAAGCCTCCTGAGAGTTTGAAACCACTTGATTCGCTCTATAGCCTGCCCCTCTTTTCTCCACTGTATAGCTGTCCTATACTTAGAGCAGCCTTCATTACTTCCCATGGACTCAACAGTATGCTTTCTACTTGCCTGCAGCACTCATGAGGGAAGAATTAGGATCAAACACCTGTATACAATTTTTAGAACCATTTTCAGGCTTAGAAACTTATTTCTGGAAACCATTGTCTTTGCCTTTTCACCCAGCTAGAGAGAAGGGTGGAGAATGGTGAAGGTTAAGAATCTTACCTGTCCATTGAGAGCAGCAAAACTAACAAAAGTTCTACTGGAATTGCTTTCTTTTTTGGATTTTGTCTAGATTCATACTATTAAAAGGTATTTCCAGCCTTTTGCTTTCAGGTTTTCAAAACTCAGAACAGATTCTTCAGGGAGAAAAAGAAGAAAACCAGTACCATGTCCTAAGCTTTGTAGTGTAAGGCCTCTTTGTTTTCTGGAACCAGAGAACGCTGGTTTCATCCCACCCTACACACAAGTCTACTCGTCTTTGTTAGGTCCTTGGGCAAGGGTGTTTTCAGTGGTTAAGTTTCAGGAAAAGTCTGCAAACCTTCTGACATGATATACACAACTGTATGTTCTACCTTTGAGGAAAGGGTCCCAGTGGTTCTTACTAGGTTCCCAAAAAATATTAAGAGCTTATCTAGGAGCTACTAATGACAGTGTTGAGAGTTGCAAGATGCTTAACAGAGAATATTCTTTTGCATAAAGTGTATTTGTACAATTCTGAGACTGTGAAACTTCCACCTTCCATGCCTGCTCTGCTTCCTGTAAGGGTGACCAAAGAAATCAAGCTGTCTTTGGGGTGTAGAGTGATGATTTTCCAGGAAAGTGTATTTAAGCATACTGGTACAGCTGGCACTTTTCTCTGGGCTTTCATGGGACCACATTGGCTGGGCCATGTGAGCCTTGGATGCTCTGTTGCAAGGGTGCTTTTCTGTTCTGACTGATAGCATGTCTGAAAAGATGAAAGTAGTGGAGCCTTTTACAACAGGAAGGAGTACGTGAGGTGTTGGGCAGTTGTAGAGGAGTTTTTGAGGGTATTAAACATTGATAGAATCAGTAAGGGCTATGATTAGGTTTAACTTTGGAGACTCGTGCACTTATATCTGCCTGTGTGTATACATAAGTGAATGTTCTTTTGTATGTATCAGTACATGTGAGCACTTGTAATATTTTTCTTTCACTCAAGTTTTCTTTGAAGTAATGGCAGTAACATCTTTGTTTTAAGGATATGTGAATTTTTTTTTCACACCAGGTTAGTGTGCACGGTTCTAGCTCTTTTTTTAGAAATAAAGGAGCCATAAGCATCCTGCCTGCTTAGGGTGTGTTATTTCTTTAAAGTGTCTTAAAAGTTATTCAGAGCTTTGACTATTTTTTAACATCTCCCACCATGTTGAGATGAAATCTAGCCCTTCCTTCCCTTCAGAGAAGAGCAGTGGTTAAGGAATTTGTATTGACTTAGTACCTTAATGAAAAGAAGGAAACTTAAATAACCTGCCAGAAACCTTCTCATTTCTTATAAGGAGAGTTAGAGGCCATATTTAGGATGTTGTTTTCATTTGACTGTACCTATATCTGAAGACTAGAAATTAGAAAACTGTGGCATAAGTCTTTTTATGTGCATATGCTAATGTTTTCTTAGCATTTTTTTTTCTGATAAAATAACAGTTCAAGTTTAAATCAGGCTCAAAGGTGTATTTTTACATATTCCTCTACTTGGTTATACAGTAATCAAATAAAGGTGAAAATCAAACTCTTTAAAGAGTGAAGTATTCTCTCTACCAGATGTTATTTGCATATGAGATAAGGTCATTACTACTATGTACACTATTGCTTTTGTAGGGATTTGTTTTCTTTCAGAAGTGCTTGAGTGTTTTAACTCCTGACCTCCGTATGCTTTAGGGGTAATATTATTGCTGTCTGATTGTTTGCCCAGCAAAGGGTTTTTCTTTTTATATTCAGTGGACAGCTTTTGTGACTAGGCATGTTGATTTTGTTGGAATAGGTGTACACTAACTGGAATGGTATGGTGTTTTTAATGGAGGAAATTCATTCATTGGAGGACAGATTGATACATATTGAGTAATGGACTTTTGAACGCCTGTACCCTCTGGTTTGCTCAAATGATCGCAATTTAAGTACACTTACTTACTGATTTTGTTCCTATTAGGTAAAGGAGTGTTTCTAGAGCTATGAGGAAGGTTGTGCCTGGCTTATTTATAAAGTAGTGGTTTCAGCCCTTTTCCAAATCATCGGGAATCTCATCATTGATTTTAATGAGTAGGACTAGACCCTATTGTAGAGAAGATTTGGGCCATACTGTATTCTGTACACATATTGACCAAATCCATTATATCCTCTAGTTAAATGGCCTTGCTGAGCCTCTTGGCTGCTAAAGTTCCCCAGATATGCTGTAAATTCAAGGGGGTGGTCAAGTAAATTGGGAAAGAAGGGCCTCAAGAAGGAATGACTGTTGAAGATCTTTCTTCTTTAAAGAGAAATACATGCCCTAGAGCTGCTCCAGCATCCTTTGTTTCTAATTTTTAAAAATATATATAAAATACAGATTTAGAAGAATAAAATCAGATGACACTTAACTGCAAAAACATAAGCAGATAACATAGTCTTCTTAAAATTTGTTATAAAACTGTGAACTTCATAACTTTGTAAAACAAGATACAAAGAAATACAAGAGGAAAATAAAGTACTTTTCCTAATTGATTGTCCTTTCTTATTTTATCTGCATCTTTGTGGCCAACTTTTTTGTAGCCAACCTTTGTAGGCAAGAAGGAATTGGTGAAAAATGCAAAATTGTAATGCCACAGTCCATGGTAGTGGAGCAAGCATGGCAAACAGCTATTCCGGGATTTTGCCCAAGGTTATACAATAGGACATTTAATAGAGGAGCTGGAATGAAACCATTCCAGTCAGGTTAACTGACTCTTCCAGTTATAGGTGACCTGTTTATTTTTATTTACTCAGCAGCTGTTCCTCTTCCTTATATGTCTTAGAAAATGTTTGAATGACTCTTAGGTTCAAGAAATAGCCATAGGCATGATTAAAGTAGAGTTCAGGTTTTGAGGGGTGTCTATTTCCCGCCCCCCCCCCTTTCTATTCTGAAGCTGTGATAAATGAGTATAAGATTGGGAACCATTCAGTATTGGTAGGGCAATTATCTAAATGTGAGAAAACCAAACGCAGTAAAACCAGCTGTACACATGCCTTTATTTAGATCACCTCTTTCCAGCATGCAGCCAAATTTAGAGTCAGACAATCCAAAGTATCCAGCATTGTTTTGCTAAGCTGCTTTAGCCTAGAGTGGGCCCAACTTGAAACAGGTAGAACCAATGTTTGTTTGCTACCTTAAACTGGGATAACATAAAGGTGATAGAGGGTCCCAGCACAACAAAGTGTTGAGTGCCACGAGCACCTAACCAACCAATTGCCATCAAGTTCATCTAACTCATGTTGACCACATGTATTGCTGAGTAGAACCATGCTTCATCTTTTCAGTGGCTGTCATGGTTTAGAAGTTGACTACCCCCCAAAAAAATATTGCCAGGCCTTTCTTCCATGGTATCCCTGGATGGATTCAGACCACCAACCTTTCTGTTAGCAGCCAAGTGCAGTGTATATCACCTAGGAATTCTGCCATTGACTAAGATTCCTGCATACAGCTAAGGAGAGGTCAAAACCTTTGGATTTAGTTCAGAGCCAGGTCAGCTCATAGAGCAAACCTCAGAGGTACTTGCCTTCTAATGACAAAGGTCCAGCAAGGTCTGCCCTTCGTACTGCATTCCTTAACTAAAGGATCAGGCTGAGCATGAAAGTGCAGATGCCTTGAAGCCAAGTGGGGAATGAAGTGGAAGAAGAATGAGAAAAAGGTGTCTGAAGGCCTTTTTAGGGGTTCAGCTACTAGGTTCTTTGAGGTAAGTGGTTCTAGAAATGTAGGGTAAAATTGAAATCCTGAGTCATCCTGCATGGCCTTGGGTGAGGTCTTCCTGGTTCAGGCATACATGGTGAGCTGCAGCCACTGGAAAAGGTCACAAGATCAGAATGAAAACTACAAGACCTCAACCCCAGGGAATCTTATGAAGAAAGGAAGGACACAGCTTTGTTATGCCAAACAGATATTTTAGGGATGTTTTCCAAAAAGCAGTGGTTTATAGCCTTCTCTCCCAATGTAGGAGTTAGGTGTTTCCCAGGGTAAAATAATTTTGGAAACTGAAGCCCTAATATTTTCCCAAGATTTCACATAGTGCATATGTCCCGTGAGCCATAATGCCTGCTCGACTCTGTTCTCTAGACTCTTTCCATCCACCCACTGTTACTGTCTGTAACGTGCAGAGCACACAGTAGGCCCATTCTGCCTCATTGACTCATATACTTTGAATTTCCAGGTACAGGGAAATGGGCTATTTTTGTTTTACCTCTAGAACATTGAGTTTGATGATACCGTCGCCATCCTTGTCAAATGCATTGAAAGCTCCTATAGGAAAGAAAGCACAAGCTGGGAGCCAGTTAGACTCACCCTGCCTCCACTACAGTCAACTTCTTACTGGTCCTACTGTCCTTCAGCACAAATAACTACCAGGAAGTCTCACCAATTTACCCTCTCTTTGTCATACCATTGTGAGCCTGAAGAGGGCCTTTGCTAAGTATCAGTCTGAGATTCCTATTGCTACAGCAAAGGGCCAGCTCCCACTTACTGAACATGCCCTCCAGTCTGACGAAGCAGCAGATGAAACTGTCAAAGTCGATGTTCATATGTTTGTCAGCATACCGCATGGTAATAATGTCATAGAGCTGGCAGTTGAGGTGGAATCCTGTAGATGAGGGTGCTGTTAGAAGGTGTTAGAAGAGGTGCTGGAGTCCTCCAACCTACAGTTCTGTTTTTCTGGCTTCCCAAGGTCCTGTCCTTACGTCATTCCACTCTGGGTTGGGGAGGAGTGGGGTAGGGGAGTCTCTCCTGTAATGTAAGCCCTGGTAAGCTCCAGTCCTCATCCCTGTCACCCACTTTCTTCCCCAGCACCTGCATCATTGACTGCATTTCGCATCTCATAGCTGTTGATGGTTCCAGAATGGTCTGTGTCATAATGTTTGAAAATTTTCTGGCAACAAAAATTTGAGGGCAGAAGTGAGGACATGAAACTCCCCAATCCCTTCTTTCCCACCTTTCACCCTTTTCCCTACCTGCCAGGCTTTAATCTTCTTCCAGAGATGATGGAACTCTTGGAGATTCAGCCTCCCAGAGCCATCTGTCTGGTGGAAGGAGGTCAGGGCTACAGAGTACATAACAAAATCCCCCCTAAATTGAGAGGTGGGGTGTCTAGGGTGCTCCACAGAGAAGGTGGTCCTATCCAGGATATCCTCACTGCCCTGTCATGTTTAACCCTCCCCTCCTACAAATCTGAAGTTGGATCTCTGCTGGCATAAGAACCATTATGCTAGCCAGAAAGTCATTGGTTTGAAGCCTTGGTGGGGGGAGAAGGGTCATCTTTTGTAAAGATTTGTAGCCATGGAAACCTAATGGTAGATCACTGAAGCATAATCCACATGACAGCAGTGAGTTTGGTTTTTCTGATTTTGGGGATCACACCTCCAAACCAAAGTTATTGTTTGCTGTATAAACCCCAAGGGCATTTATCCAAAGAACTGCCTATGGTAGGTACAAGGATTAGGAACTTGTCCTTCCCACCTCCTGCCCTCTCAAACACCCCAGTTGGACAAGCATCAAGGCATTCTGACTCCAGACCACTTTAAATCTCCTTGGGCACAGATTTTGGGCCCTTCTACCTCACGTGACACTCCTCATTGTTGGGCAGTATAAGGGGTAAGGACAGAGGGGTTGGGAAGAGGTGACAAGGATACATCCATGAGTGCAATCATGCTCCGGCAGGACTCCAACGTGAACCCTTGTGTCTTCAGGTCCTTGTCTGGGGGGTGGGGGGTGTATGGAGAAGAGTGAGGAGCTGTTTGCAGATAACCGAGCTCCCTGTCCAGCCTCTCCACTCATTCTAAGCCACTCACGTTTGTTCACAACTGTGTTAAGGACATTCTTGAGCTCATCTGCACAGATCTCCATGTCCTGAGGAGGAAAGAAGAGAGCCATGGTTCAAGAGTACAACAGCTGATGGAGCAGAGGCTTTGCAAAACAAATCTCAGCTGTCTCTCTTCATAAAAGCCCTGTCAGCGCTGTTCTGTCATGGGAAAGCTGGGCTTTCCTGAGGGCCCTGACACCACCCTCGTCAGCTGTCCAGACTGCAGGGGCCTCTCATGGCAATTAAGGCCTGTGATCGATCCAGTGGATGTGTCAAGGATTTGTGGGACTTTGTGCTGCACACGGGTATCCCTGGTTCCAACACAAGCGGAGAGTGACCTCTTCTGAACAATGTAATGAAATAATCAGTTACTTGAGCAGTTAATGAAGGTGACAGGGAGGCACTTGTGTGCTTCCAGGAGCTGGAGGTACTCACATCGCCTGCTATCTGGCTTCCAGGAGCTGGAGGTACTCACATCGCCTGCTATCTGCCTGAAAATGTTCCGGAATTGCTGCTGTTCCTCGCTCTCCTGGTCTGTATTGCTGGGATGTGGCTAGGGAAGTACAAAGGAAAACCAGTTCACAGGAATCAGGGAGTGGGGATAGACCCAGCCAGGGTACCTAAAACCCTGGAGTAGCCGCAGAAGTTGGGTACAGGACAAACACTTTTCTTCATAGTCAAACCTTGTTAGCTGAGTTAGACTTATCTAGGTCCCAGTAGACTGTGCAATCCAAACCTCTCAAGGCCCAGATATCCAAACGAAAGGAGACAAATTAGACATGTGACAGTCTCCTTCGCTGCCACCTTCACTTGGTTTCCCAGTTAGAGCCAGTTCATGCCAACGAGGCAAGCTCCAGCAGGTCAAAAGTCAAAGGACCATTGATTCCTCCAGGGTCTGTAATCAAAGCCAAGCTCCTCAAAGGACCCCTCACCTTTCTGGTGTACAGAGTTCTAGGGTAAGGATTTGACCTTGGGTTTGTCTGGAACTTTTGGCCTTTACATCACCAGCTCTATGCACTCTAGGTCAGCACCCTCACCTGAGCTTTGAGGGACCTTGTTTCTGCTACTCTCCATTCCTTTTCCACCGTAAGACAGGAATTTTTCACTGGCAAGCTGGTTGTTCCTCAGGCCCTACCTCCTCCTGTCTATATGTAACAGTGGGAAGGCTGCCCAGCCCATCATCCTGAGACCTAAGATGAGTTTGGGGTAGCAATCAACCCCTGAGAAATTCACTCAAGCTGCATTTCAAATGTAGGACAAATTGCTCCCCGAGAAAAAAAGATCTGTGGACCTACTGCAAATCTCTACCCCTGAGACCCCTCTATCTTCATGCACCCCAGAGCACAGGAGGGCCTCTGCTACATGCTAGTCATCCCCTTCATGCTGCATGCTCAAGAAATCTGTGGGGCTTTCTCATGCTTATCAGGACTTGCTTTGTCTTTGCCCTTCTCTGAGTCCTGGTCCACATTCAGCTCCTTGTTGCTGTTTGCTCTGTCCGAAACGAAGATGATGGGCTGAAGATAGGAGGAAAGTGGGGTGAGGGTAAGAAAGAAGCAAGAATTACAGGCCGAAGGGGGCACATTCAGGCAGCTTCCCTCCGGGAGCAGCTCTTAAGCCAGAAAAAGAGGAAAAGGTCAGAGTTAGGAGCAAGTTCTGTGTCAGTTGCTATGAAGCTGTGTGACTGCAGGAAAGATGTTGAGTCTCTTAGGACCCAGTTCCTTGTCTCCTAATACCCACTCCATATCTCAGAGTGGTCAAGTTATAAGGATTAAACAAGAGAGTAGCTGTGAATAGTTTGGAATGCTAAAAGCAGTAAGATCTAGTGCAGTGATTTTCAGAGTGTTTGGAAACGTTGTTTAAATTCAGTATCCCCTGAAATCATAAAAAGAAGAGGCTGCTGGATGGGGAGGACACAGTGTTTCCTCTTTAGCACCCCCGTGTGACCAGGACAACTAGAGAGAGACCTCCAGGATGCTGTTAGAACTGTTACGGGGGAAACCGTTTAGTGAAATGGTCAATGAGTGAGTGGTCAGAATATTTAAACTGTAACCCTAGCCATGTACCTCACGCATACGACATGACATCTCTGACCATCTTGGCTGGTCTATTTATGGGATAACTAAAACCTTGTCTTTGTAATTGTGTGGATCAAACAAAATGCTGAATATAAAGTTGTGCTACCAAACTGTTTACAGTGCTATGAAAACACAAGGGATAGTTTAAAAAAAGACTCATGCATGAGAGGATCCGGAAAGCAGTAGAGAGGGGGAGTGCTTGCCACACTGGGGCTGGTCAGTGCTAGACGCCTTGCAGGAAAAGCCAGAGGAAGGCTGGGCTGGAGCTGCTGAGGCTGTGATGCAGAAAGCAATCAGGCAATCAGTCCCTTAGAGCAAAAAAAAGGACCCTGACATCCATCTGAATCTCCATCTGTGTTTCTAGGTTCATCTAGACAGCTCAAATGAACAGACCGTGGAAACATCCCTCCTCAGCTGGGGACATGTGCTCTTTGGCTCCTAGCAGGCCTCATAGGCCCTAGCTCATTCTGCCTTCTAAGCAAAGGGTTTTGCTGATTTTGTGGGATCCTGGAACAAGTTGGGGATAATAGTGTGAGGGGGGATGGAATGGCCATGCAGCACCTCAGCCATGCATGTATTTCTGTGGCCAGAAGTGAGTCTGAGCAACACAGGCCTTGGAGTCTTAAGTGGCCTGAACCAGAGATGGGCCCAGAACCATATTTTAGAGCAAGACAGATATGGTTCTCAGATGCCATTCATTAATTGTGGGTCCTTAGGCAAGTTACTTCACGTCTTTCAGTCTGTATCTTCACCTGTAAAATGGGAGATGCTGTCATAACTGGGGCAAATAGAAGCTTAACCTTTTTCACAGTGCCTGGCACGTGGTAGGGGCTTGGTGAGTGTGAGCTGCAGTCTGGACCAGCACCAACACTTGATCGCCACAGTGGACCTTTCCATGCACCACCATAAACACTCGTCTGAATGCCTGTGGCTATTGGCCCATACGTTCAGTGAGGTGTCCAGAGGTCAGTCATTTCTGGATGATGCTCTGGACAGCCAAACCAAAATCCTAAAAGGGGTACTGGTATTGTGACCATTCTTTTCCTGAAGAGCATGAGGAATTTATGTGATAAATGAGGATGGATGCATAGGAGAAAGTTGGACTTGCTAAAAGCTGTAATATTGCTGACTCGTGACTGACCCTCCAGCAGGTTTTCAAAGGCAGTGAGTAAAATCACACAGGAGGAGATTGCTCATCTTTTTTCCTGTGAAACAGCTGGTGGATTCAAACCACATACTTTTGGGTTGGCAACACAACTCTTTACCATTAAGGAGAGCAGCTGTAATAGCGGGTTTCAAAATAATACAAAGGACACTGGTCCCAGATGAAAGCTTTTAAGCTAAGGCCCATGAGATGCCCTTTAGCATATGACACAGTTACTTTTCGGGTTCTCGGGGACCATGCCTGTGCAGCAGTGTGGATATAAGCAGAACACTCAGGAGAGACTATTAGAGGGTCAATCAGTGGAGGAAGAGAACCACCCAGCCTCCTGGTGAGGAAGCCACCCAGCTAGATTTCCTTCCTTCTTCCTCAGTCGAGCAGCAACTCTAAGTTTGTGTAGGTAAAGATTCTCTTTTGCCTTGGCCTTTGGAAGGGGACCCCATCTTCACATGTGAAGAGACCATCAGGCTGCTGACATGTTGCGCCCGGGCCTGGGATTTAGGCCAACTCTTCACAGCATGCTTGTTCAGAGTGAGGGGCTGGTTTCCTAAAAGGGAATTTGTAACAAACTTCACCTAGAAAAGAGCCTCTCCGGGCATCTTCCACCACCCATTCTCCAGAAGAAGGATAAGGAAAAAAGATGGGAGGAGCAGCCACGAAAAAATGGAGACAAGAAATGAACAATCTTGTCAACAGCAGGAAGTTATCATCTCAAGAATACCTGCTCTCCGTGGAAGCCCTCCTCTCAATGAACCTTAAGGAATAAAACCCACAGCTCTAAGAATCAAGCCCCGCTTGTCTTAACTAAACCCATTTGGGAGAGAGAAGGGATGCTTTTTTTGGTTTCTATTAGGACCCCAATTTCAGGCTGTTTTGGAGGAAGTGCAACCAGGTTGCTCCTTAGAGGCAAGAATGGTGAAAGTTTGTCTCTTATACTTTGGACATGTTGTCTGGAGTGGCTAGTCCTTGGAAAAAGCTTTGTGCTGGGAAATGTGGAGGCTTAGAGAAAGAAAGTCCTTTAATAAGATGGATGGACACAGTGACTGTAACAATGGAGTTAAGCATGATGGAGAGCAAAAGGAAGGCACTGGAGAGGGTAAGGTTCTCATCTCTTGGGTCCACTTCACAGCACCTAACAACTTCAGGCCCATTTCTCTAGGTGAACATCCTCTCCTTCCTCATTTGAGAGGTGGGCAGTGTAACATGAGAGTTAAGGACAGAGGGTGTGGAGTCAGACTAGCTCCAAGACCTGGCTCTGCACTTACTGGCCTCAGGCCCATTAGTTAAAACTCTTAAGTTTCTGTTTGCTCCTCTGAAAAGAGGGCTAACATTAGTACTAATCTCATAGGGTTCTTGTAAGGATTACATGAGTTAATCTAAAGCATGCAGAAGAGTGCTTGGCACGTAACCTGCACTCAGCAAGCACTCGCTAGCATTATCACACAGGTGTGCTGCAGGAGAAGGCTAGGGACGGAGGGCAAGGAGGAGGCACGTCTGGTGCACGTGCTCACACTGCATGCTTTCCACCCAGCTCACCCAGGGACACTCACTTTGGCTTTTTTCTTTTTCTGTACAAGAAAAGGAAATAGGTAAACGCTGAATAAGTGAAAATAAGTTCCCAAAAGCCCCAGGGTCTTTGACTTCCCTGTGACCTGGTCAGTTTGGTATGAAGTTTTAGGGTCCATAAATCTGGGTTACATGGAGCCAAAGAGGTAACCAGAAGTGAGGAGAAAGAACTTCTTTGTCCTCACTCAAAGCCCTGAGGCAGGCAGGGGCTACGGCTTTGTTTAATGCTCTTACTCATCAAACCTGGACAGAGGAAGCTATCTTCTAGCTAATGTATTCTTTAATTGGTTGTTTAATACACTGAAAAGTCGCTCGACCAAGTAGCAGTGAATTATGTCTGACATGGGTTGTTGTTGTTTTTTCTTGTTTCATTGAATCAGATCTGACTGGCACAGAAGGAGATTGCCCTTCCTTCTCCAGCAGAGCATCTGGTGGATTCGAACCTCATACCTCCAAGATTGCAGTGTAGTTTCTTGCCACTATGCCACCAGAGCTCCCTAGGTATTTGTTGTTTTTAGGTGCCAGGGGATTAGTTCTGGCCCATCGTAACCCTGTGTACACAGAACGACACAGGCCCAGCCTGCTCTGTCCTCACTAGCATGGCCATGTTTCAGCCCATCTTGGAGCTGCTCTGTCAGTCCGTCTCATTGAGGGTCTCCTTTTTCTCTCTGACCAAATATGATGTCTTTCCCCAGTAACTAGTCCAAAGTACACGAGATAGAGTCTCACTATCCTTGCTTTCTCCCCTTTATTAAAATCTTAATTGTGAATTGAATACATCTTTGCTTCTTAGAGTATTTTAAAATAATTTTTAGTAGACATTTAGTGCAGGGATATTTAAGATGGAAACCCCCCAGTTTGGGGACTTATTTATGAAGGTCAAGGTCATACTGGCTACACAGAGCCTCAGTACCCTGTGGCCATGATCAGTTGACGCTGAGAGCAGCGAGTTCCTCTGCAGCCTCAGATGGCCACAGTCACCACCACACCAGTTGTCCCTTCAACCCTGAAGCCAAGTGTCCTTGATCTGCCAGTGGGGACATCCAAAACCCTGCATCTCTCTGCTCCATTCATTTAATGGACATGCCAGCTCCTGTAAGCTTGTGAGTTTGCATCTCCTGATAAATACAAGGATTGCCAATGTTCAGAAAAGAATAGATTTAAAAAATGCTTTAGCTACAAAAGTCAACAATTGTGCTTGTGGTTGATGGAACTTCTGACACTGACTACACAATCCATGTGCTTTCTTTCTTCTGTGTGAGATTGTGTCTCCTTAAAGTCATATGGTTCAAATCCGTCAGCTGTTCTGCAGGAGAAAGATGGGCAATCTCTTTCTGTGTGATTTACAGTTTCTGAAAACCCACTGGTGGGTCAATTCTAAGTTGAGCCTGACTTGATGGCACACAACCACAGCAACAATCTCATGTCAACTACTTTTTCTTGACAGTCATCCTTCCTGCATCCCTTTTCTCTTTCACTTCTTGCTCAAACTGCCTCTCCCTTCTGGGACTCATGCCCTGAAGTGAGTCACTGGCTGGCCCCAGGACCTCTATTTCTATGCCATTAAAAAGCTGTGATAAGGTCAGCTCTGATGGCCTAGTGGCAAGAAGCAGCACTGCAATCCCAGAGATGTGAGGTTCAAATCCACCAGCACCAGATGCTCTGCTGAAGAAGAAGGGACAATCTCCTCCTGTACCAGTCAGATCTGATTTGATGGTTATACACATTAAAAAAAAAAGTAATTAAAAAAAAAGCTGTGATAACAGGGAGTAATCATTTTTTAGGGGGCTCTGATGGCCTAGTGGGTAAAGTGTTGTACTGCCAACCCAATGGCAGGTGTTTCAAATCCACCAGAAGCTTCTTGAGAGAAAGATGTGCAGTCTCCTCCCATGTGATTTATAGCCTCTGAAAACCTGCTGGAGGGTCAGCCGTAGGTCAACTCTGACTTGACAACAATGACTTGTACACCCCCCTTCTTCCTCTGCCGACACCCACTCTTCCACCATTGGTCTGATTCCTGCCTGGCCCAGGGAAGGAGGATCTCTGAACCATCACACGTTAGAGCAATACCACTTACCAGGGGCCGATCCACGGAGATCATATTTTCAACATCCCTGTGAGGAGCACAAACATGCGGGCGTCTCAGTGTCACCAGGAACAGCCAGGAAGTACAGAGAGGATTTCCTCAGGTCACATGGCTTCCCAGGGCCAAGGCAGAACTGACTTCAAGAGAACTTTAGGAGCTCTGTCCCTTCCCATCCCAGGAACCTACCTCTGTGGGCCACCATCCCCAGCACCAAAGCCAGGCATACAGCTTCTTGCTGGGTTTACCCTAACTGCATGGCCCAGGCACCTGCACACTCCAGGTACAGAGAGCAGAGAGGCAGGGCAAGCTGGCTTGACTTCCCTGACCGCCTTCCCTAATATTTAAATCACTCAATGCTTCATATCTTCCTTCCTTTCTTTATTATGGCTCCTTACTGCTTTTATAACATTTTGAACTTTTAAATTTCATTTTCTTGCCCTGTATACTTTTCCTAGAATGAGACACTGTGTGGGCAAGGGTTTCTTTCTGCTCAGTTCACTGCTGTATCTCCAGTGTCTAAAAGAGTGCCTAGGACATAGTAGATGCTTAAGAAATACCTTTTAAATAAATGAGGAAGGGAGAAGTAACAATGGAAGGAAGAAAGGGAAGAAGGAGGGAAGGAAAGAACAAGGAGGAACAAGGAGGGAGACGAGACTCGCGTCTTGGCCACTGGGAGAGGTACAGCCTTGTTCGTCAGCATGTCCCAGGACTCTCGGAGGAGCCTGGTCCAGCTGCCTCACAGCTCCATGCTCTGCAGTGGGTCATGGGCACCTTCAGAAAGTGGGACTCACTCAGAGAGGTTCCGCTTTTCCGAGAAGACCCGGAGGATGAATTCTCCCTCCTGGTGGGGCTCGTAGGTGGAGGGCACGATGACATACTCGCTGGGAGGCAGGCGGAAGCGCTCTGACACCTCGCGCATGTTGATGTAGGTTTTGCTCCTGGCCTTGGAGGCGTTGTACAGAAAGAAGTCCTTCTGCAGGTGTTGCTTGTTCCCATGCATCTGCGGAAGAGAAGAGGCTGTGGGGTCGAAGGGCTTGCCCTGCTCACAGTCCCCGTCCAGCCGTCCCTTCCCGACTCTCCTGTCACCCGCTTCACAGTCGCGACCCTGGAGCTCCTGTTCCCTTTTCTCTCCTGTGGTGGCTCAGAAGTGAAGGTCAAGGCTATTGTTCCCACACTCAGGGCCACTTACCAGGACTGCTGCTCGTCAGTTCCAAATCATCTCCAGACTGGGGAAGGACCCCAAGGGGTCAGGAGGAGCCTTGACTGTGCTCTGAGGGTGATGAGTCCTCCATTCCTATGAGGCATCACCCTCAGAGTGTGTCTGTAACTGAGGGTGTGACAGTGTGAGTGTGATTGTCTAAGTGGCAGAGTGTGAGCAAGTGTGTGCATGAGTGAGGCTGAACGCTGGAGCATGAGTGAGGATGAGGAAGTGTGAATTTGTGAGTGTGAATGAATGAGCATGAGTGTGAATGGGTGTGTGTGAGTGTGTGGTAGGCAGTCTGGGGGGGGGAGGGAGAAAGTTCACATCGTCAGGGTGGTAGTCAGGGGTGTCATGCAGTACCCAGAGGCGCCTGTTTGGGGTTGAGATAAGTAGTAGCAAGGCCCTCTCCTATCATAGTCCTTCCCACAAACACCACCTGGAAGCTTCCTGGCATGTCACACACAGACATGGGACCCCCAGGTAATGCTGCACACAGTTGTGGGCCACTGTCACTTCTATACCTCTTTGGGAACCTTGAGGAGAAATAGAGAAAGAAGACGTTCAAAATTTTGTGGGTTTCACATCTGAATGAGAATGAGAGGCTTGCAAGGAGAGAACGCAACAAGGCAATGGTAGACTTGATGCAGAAATTACTCCCTGGTGTGTCTACCCTCACCTCCCAATTTTCCCTCTCATTACAAGCACCTAAGAGGTTCTGGTGCAGGAGGGCTGGATACCAAGGACCCTGGGGGTCACTATGTATCAGAAAAGCCAGACAAGGCTTCCAGAAGCCTTCTTGGGTGACAAAGCTTGAACCACTGGGAAGGTGTGTCCTTCTTGGGCTAAATAGAGCAGGTGAGGGTCTGCACACCTCGTAGATGGCGAAGCCAATGGTGAAGAGGTTGGCCCCCAGCTTGCGTTCCTTCCGCCGGTTCTTCTGCATCAGGGCCACCAGGAAGCTGCAGACCACCTGGGAGTCGTCGGGGTCATCGTCCTCCTCCAGGAGCTTCAGACGGTACTGTGGGTTGGTCCAGAAAGTGTCTGTGAAGCCCAGAAAGGAAACAGACTCAGACCTGCCTCTCAGAGAAAGGGCAGGGAGGGAAGTGAGATATATCGGTATGTCTAGGAAGCATCTGCCTTATTCTTTGGGGTAGGAACAGCCTTTACCTTTATTTAGATGGAGCTACACCTGGATGTGTGGCTTCCTGACGGTTAGGATAATAGTAATAAAAACAGGAATACAAATAAAAATAAAGACAACAGAGATAGTAACATATTTTCTTTCTAAATGTGATGGTGAAAGGAGGGAATACTACTATTAGTTCTCTTGCTTAATAATGTAGCACATTACAAGATGCTGGGCACTGTGCTAAATACTCTTATGCATTATCTCATGAAATCACTCAGATCATCCATTCCTAGGAGACAGGTATTATTGTTGTCCTCGTTTTACAGATGGTGCAACTGCGACGCAGAGTGGCTAAAGGCCTTGTTGAAGTCTCACAGTTAATGAATCAAAGCGCTTGAATGAAAACCTAGGCTCTTCTGACCATAGAGCCTAAGCTCTTAACCCCAACACTTGGAATGTCCTGGGTGTGATACAATTTGTTACTAGAATTTGAAATGTACATTCACAGAACTGCTGGCTTTTTAAAAAGATCAGAAGTGATGGTAATTATAGTGATGAAAGCAGAGATGTTATAGTGATGGTGCTGGAGTACACACAATAAGTACTCATGAATAGGAAAGGCCCTATAAAACTCTGCAGTAGGGCTGGCAAGACATATGTATACAGGATGGGTATGGGTTCTGCTCCTGGGAGATTAAAAGGTAGAAGGGTTGACATGTTAGTGGCTATTGTTCCACAAGATAGAGGTTTCAGCTGATCCTTCCTGAACTTCTTCACTCTCTCCCTTGATACTCTTTCTCCCTCACATTATCTATCTCTTTACAAGGCTCTGGAGAGAATCTTCTATAGACACCATTTCTGTTTACTTCGTTTAAATTTCATTTTATTGTGGTAAAATATATCTAAAAGTCCCATATTAACCATTTTAAGTAATTCAGATAAGTAACAGAAAGAAAATGAAATAGAGTATCTCAGGCGAGAATTCCTTGTCGGGGCGGGGGGCCTCTCTAAAGGGGATGAGGCATCGGAACTGAGATCTGAGAGATGAGAAGCCACAGGGGAGCACCTGTGACTTCCTTCCTTCCTTCCACAATTATTTGTTGAGTTCCTGTTATTTAACCAAGTGCCATTCTATTCTGTGCATCCAATTGTTCATTACTCATCTGCTTGTGTCTGGATATTCTATGGTACCTCAAACTTTCTGTGTTCTAGACTCTCCTTACCAACCCACAAACGACCTCACCAAAGACAAAACACTCAACACTGCTGTGCGTTTTTCTTATGTCGTATATTGTGACGTTGCTCGTCAAGCTGGAGTCATTCTGCATTTTTGTTTCCTCTTCATTCCTTGCATTGCCCCATACTTTCTCCCTAAATCTGTCTCTCCCCTCCAGGTCTGCTTTTACTGACTCTGGGCTTTTGTCATCTCTGGCTTGAACTATTGTAGTAACCATTAACTTTTAGTCCTGCAGTTCCATTCCCAACCTCTTCGAGTGTTATTCCAAGGCAGCTTCCTGCTGCAAATTCCTCAGAGTACTGGCTTCCTTCTCAGTCACAGGGGGTGGGGTGAGGGGTGTGCTTAATAAAACAAAGTAAGTGAGTCCATGTTCAGAGCTTAGTAAAGCCTGACGGAGTGGCGCTTAGTATTTTACTTGGAACTTGTTCTGCTGGGACCCATGCCTCCCGCAAGCATGTTTTCCCACCTGGGAAGTTGCGGCAACCTCCAGCAGAGCAACCCCTGACCCAGCGGCCCTCATTCACAGACACGGTCCAGGTCTGGAGTTTGTCAGATTCCAAGGCATCAGCTGTCAGGTTACAGATCTCCAGCTTTGTGAAATGGTAGATGAAATCGTCATATGACATCCTGAGAGGTTGGGAGAAGAGAAGAACTGACGTGGAAGCAAAGGGAGAAGCCGGAAAAGGCTAAGCTTCAGGGAAGCACAACCCAAGAAAATAGTTAAGAGGACCTTAATAACAGTCCCAGGGAGGATTGATATTGTCGTTAAGTGCCATTGAATTGACTACAACTCACAGCAACCCAATGAAGAAAAGCTTTGAATCTTGCCCTGTCCTGAGCCAACCTCACCATCTCCAATACACCTGGCCCTGTTCAGGGAGGATTGGGTCTTTCACATTTAGGATAAACCCAGTTATTTCTGATATATTCACTTCCAATTGTCATCTCTTCCTATAAGGACTTAAATTCAACTCTGGGAGATGCTGGGCAATTTAGTTCTAGAAAGTTGGAAAATTCACTTGTCCAGAAAGTTACTACATGCCTCACTCCTGTGCAGGCCACAGAGCTGGGCACACAGACAGTTTGGGGCAGGGCCAATTAAGCGAGCAATTTTAAGGAGGATCACAAATAGGCTAACTTGTGTCCTATATACGTTTAAGGATCCCTTTGAAAGTTCAAAGGAATTATGATGGCATACTGCATCATGTATCAAGTTGCTAACTAAAAGGAAGGCAGTTCAAATCCACCAGCTTCTCTGTGGAGGCAAGATGGGCAAAGAGAAAGATGAGAAGTTTTTTTCTTGTAAAGATTTACAACCTTGGAAACCAAATGGAGGGTGTCAGGAGTTAGAACTACTCCGTGGCAGCAAATTATTTATTTACAAGTTCAAGGACACCTGGTGGAACAGTGATTAAACATTCAGCCTTTAATTGAAAGCCTAGCAATTTGAATCTACCATCTGCTCCACGGGGAGCTCTGGTGGCCTAGAAGGTAAAGGGTTGTGCTGCTAATTCAAAGACAGGTGATTCAAATCCACTAGCTGCTCTTTGGGAAGAAGATGGGCAATCTCCTCCAATATGATTTACAGCCCCTGAAAATCCACTGGAAGGTCGGCTACAAGTTGGTTCTGACTCAAAGGCACATAAGAGCAACAACCGCTCTATGAGAGAAAGCGGTGACAATCTGCACCTGTAATATTTACGGCCTTGTCAACTCTATGGGAGCAGTTTTAAAGGGTCACTATGGATCCAAATTGACTTGACAGAAATAGTTTTGATTAGAAAGTTCCCTTTAAGACCTGAAGGATGAATAGCAATAATGTGAGTGAGAGTAGGGCTGTCAATGGTTGAATATGTAAGTACAGCTTTCTAGGTTCAGAAAAATAGCCTTTACAAGAGTAGGAATCAGGGGAGGCCGGAGCACAGTGTGCTGTAGGAGAGGCACAGATGAAGAGAGGCCACGACATGTTAACTTGGTTCTGGGGCTCTATCGTCGTGTGATCTGGTAGGTTTTCTGAAAAACCTCCTCTTGATGAGACTCAACTGGGAAGAGAAGACTCAAAACTCTCTCTGCCAAAAAAAAATAAAAAAAAATAAAAAAAAAACAACACAAAAAAACTCTCTCTGCCGTAGAGTCAGCTGCAACTCATCACAGCCCTCCACCAGTTTTTGAGGCTGCAAATCACAATGAGAAGAGGTTGTGCATCTCTCTCCCGAGGAGATGTTGGTGCAAACCACTGGAGAGGCACAGCCTTTGGATTAGCCGTGCGGTCTGCTACAGACTATACCATGAGAGGTAGGTCCCTTGAGAGGAGGAGGAAAGAGCTCAAATTTGCCCAGACCTGGAGTTTAACAGGCCGTGCCTTGGGGCCGAGGGTTGAGATTTCAGCTTCTATCCCTGGCCTGCCATGGTCCTCCCGGGATCTGGACTCACCAGAACTCTCCATCCTCAGTGACCTGGTGCTGCAGGCGGGCCTTCTCATCCTTGTCCACAAAGATCCAGTCCTTCCACCTGTAAGAAAGCAGATGAATTATTGGTGAAAGGTAAAGAGAAGACTTGCTATGGGTTAGGGCAGCAGATGTTAGAGAAATACGATGAAGTTGATGGACTGTGTCTCCTGTGTTCATTTCCAAGTCCCCAGACAGTAGGGAAGGGCCCATTACACAGCACTGATTTAGGGATGAGTGAAGGCATGCATGAGAACATGTGCAAGAGGCAGCAGGTCCACAGCATCTATCACAGCTTCTCAAGGGAGGCTGCGTGCGCCCTGCATGTTCCCATGTCTTGACCTGTGTGTGTTATTTAGTAGGAGCTCGACAAATGCTTGCTGAGCAGATGAATGGCTGAATGAACCAGGAATTACAGGGCACTGGGTTAAGAGGTTTGTAGCAGTAAACCCAGGACGGAAGGCATACACATACACAGCTGTGTGCTACTGTGCCCCAGCCTGGCCATGGCCCTGTGCTATCCTCCTCCTGTTCATAAATGAGGAGCTCAAAGTCCTGCTTCCTTTCAATAAAGGCAAACAGGAACCAGATACAGGAATGAAAGGGTAAGAAATAAGCCTTTACAAAATATCTGGAACCTTTGTAAAAGCTTCTTTCAGCATCATGTTGTTGGTGTGTGCTCTGAAGTCAGCACCTTTTCAGAGCTGACCCTCCAGTGGGTTTTCAGAGGCGGTAGATCGCAGAGGAGAAGATTGCTCATCCTTCTCCCATGGAGCAGCTGGTGGATTCAGATAGTGTGCCTTTGGGATTCAGTGCATTTTCCTACCACTAAGCACCAGAGCTGCAACACACAACATGCAAACCTCCACTGATGGACAGGCGGTGGTTGGGCATGAGGTACATTGGCTGGGAATCAAACCTACGTCTCCAGCATGGGAGGAAAGTTGCTGCTAAACCTCCGCTGTCCCCCACCAACAAGAAGCAGCAAAACTCTTTAAATGCGCCAAGAGGAAAACCCAGCACTGGCTAAATACTCTCCACATGGGACCACATTTCCTCCTGAGAGCCACCCATGATGTGGCTGCTAATAATCTCATTTTACAGATAAACAACAGAGAGTCCAAGAAGGGAAGTTACTTGTCTAGTGCAGTCCCTTGTATTAAGACTTACCTCCCTCTTGCCTGGGTCTATCTCTTGGTTTTTAGAATCTTTCTTTCTTAGTCATTGACCACCAGCGAGCCCCATTGGGTTCCTCATTCCCCTGTCTCTACTCTTGGGCTTTATCTGGAGTCTACTCTTCCACACACTCTTCTCTTGATCTTTCATGTTGAAGGTGATCTTTCATTTTGCAGTCTAACCATTTGGCAGTACTTCATGGACTGGCACCCAGTCCAGGTTTGCCCCAGACCCTATAGTCTCCCACCATGGGGTCCCTGTACCTACCCATCACTCCAGGAGCCATTCCACTCCACCTGGCCCCAGGGGTTCCGCAGTCGTACCAGCTTCACCTTCTCATCTTTGAACAAAGTCTTGGGTAAAGAGAAAAAGCTCTCAAGCTCTGGAGCCACTGTCTGGAAAGGGCTGGGACAGGGATGAGGAGAGAATCCCTTACAGGAGCACTGTCTTCCTTGGCTTTGATCAGAGAGATTAGCAGAACCTTCCATGGAATAGGGGAGGTGTAGGACAGAACCTTAGGACTGAGTCTGTAGGAGGCATGGAGTTGGCCATCACCTCTCCATCTTCTAAGAAGTTATTTTTCGGAGAACATCTGAGGCATTATGAGCTCTGTGGGGTGAGGATTTTGATATACACGGAAGGATCCTACTAGCATGTGTGGTTTGTGTGATTAGGAAAAACTACCGCACTGGTGGAGGTGGACCAAGAGAGAAAGGTACCACTTCCTCTCATCTCTCGCAATGAGCTGATGCCACAGACTTTTGCCCATCTCTGTACAGAGCACAACCTGAGAGCAGCCAGAGTGATTAGTTTCCTCTCTCCTATGTGCCTCACTAAAACCCAGAAATTCCAGAGGAAGTAAACATTGTGACTCAAGAGAGAGCAAGAAATATAAGGGTCCGTGCAGTGAACTTTATAAAAACAAAGCGATATTACTATTTTTCCTTGAAAATATTGAGGAAATAGCCAGCATTAACTCAAAGAACAAAGACAAACTGAGCAGTATCTTATGCCAAGATGTACCACAGTTCAGATGTTGAGTCAATGATTGCATGGAGGCCGTGGAAATCTGTAGCTAGGAAGCTGAATATACCACCATCTGAGATAGTGAACAGTATTTTAAAATATTCTGATGCTTGGAGGAGTGTGAAGTAAACTGCTAGCAGAATAGTAATAAATGTGTTGCTGTTGTGTACCGTCAAGTTGGAACTGACCCATAGTTGACCCTCCAGTGGATTTTCAGAGGCTGTAAATCATATGGAAGGAGATTGCCCATCTTTCTCCTATGGAACACCTGGTGAATTTGAATCACATGCATTTGGGTTGGCAGCTTAACTCCTTATCACTAAGCCACCAGAGTTCCCTAGAGTGATAAACAGAGCTGGAATTATGTGGCTTTAGTCACTTGCTATTTGACTGTGGTAGGCTTATGTAATGGCTATGCTAAGAGAATGGCTTTCTTTAGGAGCAAGATTTCTAGTGGGGTTAATTCCCATTGGTGGTCAACATCCTCTGAAATTAGGATTCCAATTTCTCAGGAATTGTGGTGAGACTGTAAGGATAAAAAGTTCAGAGAATTTAGTGAAAAATAATACTTCTGAGATAGTAAGTAAGGTTATGCCACATTATAGGCCTTTTGAGACGATTGATACATGGTGGCCTGGAAATGTGGTCTCTAGAATAATATCTCATCATCACTGGTATATAGTTAAAGAGTTAATAGGAAGTCCTAGGGCTGCTCCTTGGAGGCAAGGACTCTGAAGCTCTGTCTGATATACTTTGAGCATGTTGCAAGGAAGGACCTTGCAGAGGGACAGCACAAGAGGGGAGGACTCTGGATGAGATGGATTGATTCAGTGACTGGGGTAATGGAGATAGGTGTTCAGAGACAATAAGCTTGGCTCAAGATAGAGCAGGGTTCAGAGCTGTTGTACATAGGGTCTCTATGAGTCGCAGGTGACTAGATGGCACATAACAACAACAATAGGGATAGGAGTAGGGTAGAGTTAAAATGAAATCATATGGTTAGACCAGAAGTTATTAGTCTAGTGGAAAGGGCCCGATTAGTGTTCATCAGCTTGAGTTTTACTATATGATATGCATGGGCTTAGTAAGTTATTAGTTGTTTTCACATAGTTATAAGCTAACCAAGAGCATAAATATGCATGCCTAGATAAGGGCTATGGCAAATTCTAAAACAGTAAGAAATATTAAGATGAAGAATATAATTGTGGCTGTGGTAAGATGAATTGATAAAAAGGCCAAAGTAGTACCTTTAGGTAAATGAATTTCAAGGTGAGCTACAGTGTTATTGGCTGTTTATTATGTGGCAAGTGCTACTGGTTGAATGAAAAGGCTGATTGTTTGAATATTGATTAGTACTGGAACTGGTGGTACAGGGGTACCTTGTGGGAGGAAATGTGTAGTGATGTTTTTGTTTCACTTTGGAATCCTGTAATTACTGTGTGAGAGCCAGGCCTGGGTACGTTGAGGGTTGAGTAGTAAAAGTAAATGACTGAGGTAGTGGTGGTGGTATGTGCCATTAAGTTGGAGCTGACCCATAGCTGACCCTTCCATGAGTTTTCAGAGGCAGTAAATCACACGGGGGGGGGGGGAGACTGCCTGTCTTTTCTCCCACAGAGCAGCTGATGGACTCTAGTCTTTAGACTCCAGCCTCTGGACAGCAGTGGGCCTTTGGGTTGGCAGTGCAGCTCCATACCACCAGGCCACCAGAGCTCCCTATAATGAATGGGGTTGTTGTTGTGTACCATTGGGTCAAAACCTACTCATAGCTTTCCCCTATGGAGCAAGTGGCAGATTTGAACCATGTGCCTTTCTTTGAGTTGACAGCTTCTTACCAATAAGCCACCCTCACTCCCTAATGAATGGAGCTGTAGTTAGGAGCCGTCAAGTCCATAGCGACCCGAGGAACAACAGATCTGACCCTGTTCTATCCTGTGCCATCCTCACAGTCTCTGACACACTCAAGCTCATTGCTGCAGTCCCTCTGTCAATCCATTGGGAGGATCCAAAGGATCCTCTCCTTTTCTGTCTCTCCAACTTTCCAAGCATGTTCCTCCCCAAGGACTAGCCTCTCCTGTGGGGTGGTAGCCCTAATAGATCCAATAAACAGGCTGAGATAACTGTGCCATCAAGTCAATTCTGACTCAGAGGGGGAAATTCTTAGGCTGTAATTTTTATGGAGATGGAACACTAAGCTTTCCCCCCCCCCTTAATGGAGCTATTGGGTGGATTTGAACTGCCTATTGGCAGCATCAGGATGGATGGTGAAGAGATTGAGATTGTCCACAGCTTTAGTTTGCTTGGCTCCACAGTCAACACTCTTGGCACCAGCAGCCAGGAAATTAGAAGACATCTTGTCATGGGAAAGTCTGCTGTTAGGGACGTCTCCAAAGTACTGAAGAGCAATGGTGTCTCTTTGGAGACTAAAGTGCATCTGATACAGGCTATGGTCTTTGCAATTACTTGTTATGCATTAGAGAGTTGGACAATGACTAAGGAGGATAGAAGGAGAATTGATGCCTTTGAGCTGTGGTGCTGGAGAAGAGTATTGAGGGTACCATGGACTACTAGGAAAACAAACAAGTTCATCCTAGAGAGGGTCAAACTGGGCTGCTCCTTGAAGGCAAGGATTCTGAAGTTTCATCTGACATACTTTGGACATGTTGCAAGGAGGGGCAGGTCCTTGGAGAGGGACATCATGCTTGGAAGGGTGGAGGGACAGCACAGAAGGGAAAGGCCCTCTATAAGGTGGATTGATTCAGTGACTGGGGTAATTGGGATGGGTGTATTGGAGATGGTGCGATTGGCACAGGACAGAGCAGAGTTAAGGGATGTTGAACATAGGGTCGCTATGAGTCTCAAGCCACTCAACGGCACATAACAACAACAACAACAACAACAACAACAACAAAATCTTTCAGTTAGCACTTAACCATTGTGCCATTGGGCCTGTTCTACCAGTTTGGCTGGGTCCTTCCAATCCCAGGTGCTCTGCTTGACTTTTAAGTGAAACCCCTAATGAGAGGCAGGCTCTTGCAGATGGTGAAGCAGCACAGGAAGCAACTGGGGCAAGACGGAGTCCCAGATAGCTCCCCATACCCCACACGCCCAGCCAGGCTCACCTCCTCCAGCCCTGTGACTGAATAGGCGTGGCCTTTGACCAGCCCGCTGGCCATTCTTGTTTCATACTGGACCGGAACAATAGTCTGTGGAGCAAAAACCATACAGCTTGTCAGGGGCAGAAGTTTTGCTGTCTGGAGACAAAGTGTATTATTATGTTGGGGACACGGTGAAGAAAAAGTCTAATCTACACCTTGAAAAGATGCTTCACAACAATGAGAATTGGGTTGATTATGGTTTTGGTTGTTTCAGGGGTTGGCCTAGATGCAGGAAGCTGCGCTGCAACCCCAAAGGCAGGCAGTTTGATTCCACCAGCTGCTCCTCGAAAGAAGGATGGGCATTCTCCTCCTGTGCGATTCACTGCCTCTGAAACCCGCCTACAGGGTCAGCTGTGGGTCGGTTCCAGCTGGATGGTACATAACAACAATAACAACAGGCTAAAGATTCAGTCAAGGGTCAAAAAACCAACCCAATGATGACTACAGATGGAGCTGTGTTCCACTTCTTTCTTTTGTGTATACTTTGGTTTTACATGTTGAAGAAGACACTTTAAGTAATACTTAATTGCTTTAAACATCCCTTGGAAGTCTAAGAGAACAAAAGAGGAACTAGGATGGGGGAAGATTCTAATTATCCTAAGAAGTGTTGGTCCCTCCCTAGACTTTGGAGAAGGCAGAAATACACAGCCACAGAGGAATTCTTTCCCTGAGCTGGTCAGGGGAGAAGGCTGTGTTCTGAACATCAGAGAGGATTGTGGGTACCAAGAGGTGAGGTGAAGGAGAGGGGCCCTGAGGACCCTTGAAGGGTGGAAAGCAGATAGATAGATGTCCTAGATTTTGGGTTCTCCTTTCCTCAAGCCCATTTAGGGTTTACTATTCCTGGAATAGTAAATAAACCTTTTCTTCATGTCCTGGTGTCTCCTCCACACCCATCTGGTACTGTTGTTAGTTGTAATTGAGTTGATTTCTAACTCTAGTGACTTCATTTGCTACTGAGTAAGTCATAGCATTTTCTTGATTGTAGTCTTAACAAAACTGTCTTCCATACTACTGAAAAGTGGATGCAAACCTCAAACACTTCAAACTAAAAATCATTGTCATTGAATCGGGACCAACTCATAGCTCGCTGATCCTTCAGTGAGTTTTGGGAGGCTGTAAATCTCACAGAGGAGACTGCCCATTTCTTCCCCCATACAGCTGCTGGTAGATTTGAATCTCCAGGCAGACAAGGTGCTATCTTTTGGGTTAGCAGCACAACTCCCTACAGAATACACACCAGAACTCCCTTTAGATTAGAAGTCAAAACATCAAGAGTCCCAAGTGTCCAGGCAAAGTCCAAGGAGGGCAGAGGAGGGATCTCTTCAGATGTGACTGTGTCAGAGGTTGCAAAGGGAGCACTGGTGAAGCAGTGGTTAAATACTTGGCTTCTAACTGAAAGGTTGGAGGTTTGAATCAACACAAAAGCTCTATGGGAGAAAGATGTGGCAATCTGTATTTCTAGAGATCATCATCTAGGGGACCCTACAGGGCACCCTACTCTGTCACATGGGGCTGTTATGAGTTAGAATTGACTGAATGGCACCTGACAACAACAAGGTTGTGAGGAAACGCCTCTATTTTCAGAAATCCCCAAGCCACAGAGGATTCTTGGCAGAGCAGCGGGATCATCAAAGCCCAGTGAGACAAGACAGGACCTTAGCGGCTTCACTTTGTAACAGATCCAAGAGGAACTTCCCAGAGCTGTGCCTGGCTGTGAAATCCCTGGAACTGTTCTTGGGGCAAAGGATGTAGGTGGGGCCAGTTTCCCCAGATCTCAGTCCTCAGATGACCTAGACCTTGCTGAATGCATGGAGAAATGGGGAGACAGGAGACTTGTTCAGCCTCAGGTCGAGATCTGAGCAGCCCCTTGGAGTGACATTATCTAAGCTTATCATTTGCCTGAGCAATTCCACTGTTTGTATTCTGTCCTATAAAAATGATCACAGATTGGTCCCTCTTTGTACTGGAAATGCCTGAGAGGAAGTTTGAGCTGAGATCTGCTAGTCCATGCATGGGTCACCACCTCTTCTCGGGCCTGAGGAAACTTGTCCCCCAGACTTTGGTTGAAGAGACGATACAACTACTTAGTGTGCTCTTTCCCAGAACTTGGTTTTCAAATATACATATTTTTAAAAAATGATCATAGAGGATATCCATAAGGATATCCATTATAGCACTTGAAAATAATAGTCACCTTTTTTTAAAAAAAGGAAACTTAACTTCCCAATCAATGATGACAGGTTGGAGTATTGTTCAGCCAATGAAAAATCATTATAGGGTAATGTTGACTGGCTCACTAAGATTGAAAAACTAACTGAAAAAAAAAATTAGGCTGTAAGGAAGCACAGTATGACAGCGTTTTAAAAGTAAAAATACAAATTAAGTGTATGTCTTTAAAAAATTCTGGAAAGACATATGCCAAAAGTGAAGAGAGGTTGTATTTAAACGGGGAAAATATAAGTGAATTTTCCCCTCTGCATTTCTGCTTTGCTTGGTATTCTGAAAATACTAGAATATAATTGCTTTGAGATGAGAGACTGTTTTGTTCAGTGATAGAATTAGCAGAAGCTTGATAACCTGCTGAATAAATGAACCAATGAATTAAAATAAATCAAGATATTTTTCCCCTTTTGTGTGTCTGCCTGTTAATTTGGTTTTTATCCCCCAGATCTGTCATTTATTCATAGGGTTGCTATGAGTCACAGTTGACTTGATAACACTTAACAATTGCCTATTAATTTGTTGACATATTGCCTGGACCATGCATAGAAGGCACTCCTACAGAGATTCCCTCCAAGAACTGGCTCTCCAGCCTTTTTCAGAGGCCTTAGACCCTTATTTTAACCCAGACCCTTAGAAAGCCCCACAGGAGCATCTCTAGATAAGGAACTGGCTGTGGAGTCATGCAGGTTGGAAGGATGGTCAATCCAGACCTCTGGAGGCATACACACCCGGGTCGGTTTGTCATCTGAGCCTCTGGGGTCAAGATCTGAATCTCTGAGCCGTGAGTTATCCATATTCCTCACCATCCGATTAATCAACTCCCCCATGTTCAGACCAGAAGGAGACGTCCCATACGTCATGTTCGTCCCATCCTGAGGCCCAATGGGTCGGGCAGGGGACAGTCCAGGAGTGAGAAAGTGTGAAAACAAAAGGAAGTGGGAAGACAGAGAGGGAGGGGATAGACAAAGGAGAAGAAAAAAAGAAAAGAGGTAAATAGAGCATGAATGGAGAAAAGATAAAGGACAGTAATACAGAATGGAAATGTTTGTCCATGATGTTTTAATGTTAATTGATCTTCCCAAGCTTTCCTGTTTGGGAGTGTGGGGAGAGGAGGAAGTAAGAATTTAGACAGATCTGTTTCTTGGCAATGGGAATTCCCAAGGCTGTTTCCCATTGAGCTGGCTCTAGGAAGGTATGTCCCTTGACACATAGGCAGTCCTGCTACGCATAGCCAGCTCTCTCCTGATCTCTCCTCTTGCTTCCTCTTTCAATTCATACCACTTTATGCTGAGAGAAGGACTACAGACAAAATTTCTCCCAGGATAACAACACAAAGTCCTTGTTCCAAGTAAGAGGTATGGTCAATGTTCAATCACTGGGAGGCTTTCTTGGGGAAATAGTGGACTAGAATCCATAGCCAAGTACATGGCCAGTTTAACCAGGACATTCTAGGACTGACTAATGCTAGCAAGAGTAGCTAGCACGAACATAGGGTTCTGAGTCTACATCCATAAGAATCCCAGGACTTGGAGTATATTTTCCCACTCCCTTTCTTGAAACTCTCTTGTGAAATTCCCACCTTCCAAGGTTGAGAGTCAGTTCCTGTTCCTAAAACAAACTACTTGTCCTGCCTCAGAAGAAAGATCCATGCAATTGTTCAGTTGGTTATCGGCCTCCCAACACTTGCCTGCTCTTCTCTGCACCCACCTCAACCCCAGACTTACATCAATGGAGCAGCCCATGAGTGAACCTCTTTCGATGGCTTTCTTCATGATCTTGTACATGTCTTTGGGAGCTTCCTTTATTTCAAAAAATTCAGTCACTCCTCCTGTGAAGTCTTCCATGGCCTCTGTGGTGTTCCCACCTTTCAGAGCTTCATAGGAACCATGGAGCCTTGGAGAGAAGGTGACAACCAATCTGGGATCACAGTGTTCCAGGAACCATGATCCATGGCCACCAGTAAGTACCTTTATCTTCTTTCTGAAATCAGTCCCTCAACAACCCTACCAGCTAATAGGATGAGGATGGATATACTATAATTCATTTTCTTTCTAGTGAAGAAAGGGCTAAGTGCCTCATGCAAAGGCACAGAGTCAGAACTCTGGTTGGAAACCTCATCTTTCCACCTCGTTTCCACTACATTTTGAACCCTAAGGCAGAGCTGCACTTCACACATTAGCAGCTGGAGTGTGCATCCTACGATGAGAGACAACATAACTCTATTTATATCCCACAGATTCATGAGGTTGAACCAACCAAAAGGTCTTAGGTCTAAAGGTACAGCCCAAGACTTTCAACACTGTTATGAAAGTATAGATTTTTTAAAAGGATATTGATTAGTGTACATTTGGAGAGAGCTCACTAAGGAAAACTAAAGATAAAGATATTCCATGCAAATATTCCTTTTCTTTTCCTCTCTTAAATAAGTGTTTTCAATTAAGAGTTGGTGCTGCTTGGACGTGTCCTTTTCTGACTTTGTGTCATCATTGAACACACATGTATAGATAGGCATATAAGTGGACATATACACTCTTCTGTAAGAAGACCCTGGCTGACCTCTGCAGCCCACTTCCTCACCTCAGCTATGCCTCATGTTCTAAAGTTTGCCTTACTTAGCATAGGCCTTCTCCAGAAGAGCACTCCAGAACTCATTCCGGTGGTTGGATTTGGTGAAAACCAGTTGATTGTTGTAAGTTGGCAGACAGTCATCAATAACCACATCCACCCAGTCGCCATAGCGCCAGAACTGCACAGAAGCATCAAGCAGAGAGTCACATTCACATACTCCAATTGCGAAGTGCAAACAAATAAACTCATATTTCTTAGAGGTCTCTTGGATCCCAAAGTCCCACTTCCTAGGTTCTGTGTCTATGGCTTGTTCTATTCTTTGAGTCATAGGGTATATAAATCTATTTTTGATTGGACTGTGAGCTCCTTGAGGGTAGGAAGATACCACATCCTCTCTTACACAGAGTCCAGACCAGCACCTCAGCTCAATAGGTCTGACTATCAGTACTTTTATTTGCCCAGATCACTCATTCTAATGTGCGGTCAAGGTTGAAAACTATTGGTTCAGATGAAGGTGAAGTATTGACATATGTATTTCTTAGTGAAATGTGGAAATTATTGCTAAAAAAGAATTTAAATAGAAAATTGACCCAGAGCACACATTGTTAATATAGGAGTCCTTGGATTATGAACAAGTTCTATTCCTCAATTTATCTTTGAGTCAAATTAGTATGCAACTTGGAATAGTTAAGTATGGTTTGTATCTAACATAGTTAAATATTAGTTTCAGTATACATAATAAAGACTTCTCTTTTGTGTATAAAGGAACACTTTCAGATATATGAAAACATCGCTAACATAATAATACAAAAACAATAATTTTGATGCCCATTGCAAAGTAGCACTCATTTGTTAATAACAACCACTTCACATTTTTAATCTAGTAGGCTTTCCAGGGACCGGTTGACTCTGAGTTGAAGTTGACTTGGTACTGAACAATTCCACCCTGGCATCCCCCCTTTAGATATCAGAGGGAAACTACAGTAATTTTACAGCTAATGCCAACTTAAATAATAATTACATGTATATAAAGTACATAGAAAACTAATCTTCAAAGAGGTTATGCAGTTTGTAAAAAATAAATGTATAATGGGGTGCTATTTGCAGAAATAGCTTGATGACACCGAGAAGAAAACATTCTGGCCTGGCTGCTGTGCTGGGCCTAGGAGACATTGGAAAAGAAAACCTCTACAAGTTCAGTAGGCACCTCAATTTATTATTTGAGTTGCCCAGAATATTAAAGAGCCTTCGGAACTGGAGATGGACCTTGCAGAACTTCAGTGTCTGTTACTGTTGTTAGGTGTCATCAAAGGACCTACAGGTCATAGCAACTCTACGACTCATGCAAATCTGTTGTAGACAACAGATCAGAACCTTGCCCTGTCCTGTGCCATCGTCATGACCATCTGCTCATGTCCATTACTACAGTCACTGTGTCAATCCACCCTGTGTATTGGGAATGGCAGAGTGTCAGCAAAAGAGAGGAAGCCCCTCAACTACTATCTAATAGATCCCCATATGTGGTATTCACTTCCATGCTGGTTCCATGCCAGGACAATGTGGACACAGAAAATTTCCAGTGACTGAATTGATTCTGAAACCAAAAGGCTCAATTTTTGGTCAATCTGAAAAGTCTGTTCTCCAGGTTGCTTAACTAGACTTTTATCCCAGGGCCTAGAAGAGGTAAATGATATAGACCTGCCTAAAAGAGAAACAAACAGGAACTGTCATCCTTCAGCTGAAGGCTCCTCCACAGTCCATGGGGCCCCACGGATTCATCCTGATATCTTGGGAACATACTTGGGAAAGATGAGAGCAGTAACACAGCAACCAGTCAACTGGAGATGCAAAAATAAATCTACAGGCCGGCAAACAGGATGTTTTCCAGCCTTTCTGGGTCAAAGCGGAAGGTGTGTGTGGTGGGACAGGATTAACAACTGCTTCCACACAGGCTTGCAGCCTTAAAGGGTTACTGCCTACTGTGAAGCATGGGAAGGTGGGTGAAGCCTTTCCTGGGAAGTCAGGGCCAAGAGACTGGAAGTGGGTGGGCTGCAGCTGGCCCTTTTAACTAAACTCCCGGTATCTCACCTGGAAATGGAAGATTCCTGCGTAGTTGTCTGTGAAACTCTGATCATGGGGTATGACTCGGAAAAGCAGCCGTTCATTCAGGGTCAGACAGGCGATGGCTGCGAGAAACCAGCAGTCCCCTGTGAACAAACACAGGCAGAGGTCATGGAGGGCTTGTTCCCTGGGGAGAGAAAGACCAGCTGCTTCACTTCTCAGGAACTCCTCTGAAGAACTGGGACTTGCTCAATGCTCATTTCCCTACTCTCAGATGTGATTTTATAAAGGGGTTACCCAAGGGAAGGAGATTTTCATCTGTGTCCTTTACCCATACAGTAAACAAGGTGACTATTCCCTTGTAAGGTATGTGGTTCAAATCCACCAGCTGCTCCACAAAAGAAGAAGCAATCTTCTCCCATGTAATTTACCACCTCTGAAAACCCTCTGGAAGGTCAGCTATGAGTTGATTCCAATTCAACAACAACCTTTCCTCATATGGGAATGTTTCCTTAGAGGCTGCAGGAAATACCTCCACGTATAGTATAAATTTGTTTTCTTTTCACTGAACAGCTGGTTATCATAATTAGGTAACTTCTCCTGACCCATCTTAGAATCCTCTCTGTTCTCAACCTATGTAGTGTGAAGTCACTGTCCATTTGGACTCAGTGGAGAAACGATCAGGGCACCACCAGCCAAGGAGATGTGTACTGTAGGAAAGACAAGTCAGGCAGCAGCCTGGAACCAGTCTACCCATAGAGACAGTGAGATACATGTATGGAGCATTGCTGGTACAAGGGTTAAACCAACAGAAAGGTTGGCAGTTTGAACCAACCCAGTGGCTCCATGGAGGAAAAGATCTGGCGGTCAGTTCTTGTAACGATCATAACCCAGACAACCCCTAGGAATAGTCACACTTTGTCATGTAAGTCTGAGCCATAATCCACTCAGAGGAGCAAAACAGCACAAAGACATACAAGGCTGACAATGGGATGAGATAGAGAAATTTTCCTATCTCCAAACCTCCTTTCTGGAAGGATGGTATGTAATGGAAGGTGACATTTTACAGTGTGTATACATGGCTGGGCATGTACACAGTCATGAGGGTATCTTCTAAGGGGGCTGGGTAAACTCAAGCGCTGGCTTTGTTTTCACTGTGTGGGATGTAGGAGAGTCCTCAAGACTATAGAGGGGAGATTGCTGTGAGCTGCTAGCAGCCACAGTCCCTCTGCCCCTTCACCATGAAGCAGATTCTTCTATGAAATCATAGATTGCTCTGGGTTCTAGTAGTCACTTCAAGTGTCAGAGTAGAACCAAGTCAAGCTTCTAGGTGTACAATTAAGTAGTGATGGTTGCATTATTCAACTTGGGTAACCACTCTTACCTACATTTTCTAATCTGCTCCTCCCTCTACCGTAAATTTATTGCTCCCTCAAGTTTCCCTCAAGTTTAAAATTCTGTCTATTGACGTTCTCTCTCCTCCATTTTACTTTATGAAACTTTCCAACAGTCCACACCCAAAGGCAACACTTCCTGAACAAGAGGCTGATAGAAAGGAAGCCAAGAGAACTAATCAAACAGAAAATTGGAAAAAAAAATCAACAGTAAAAAAAAAGAAAAGAAAAAAGAAAATTGGATGCCCACCCACATGGCAAAGATCATGACTTATTTGGGACTTTTCTGAGGCAATTTAAACAAGAGTCAGAAGTGCTGTTGTCAGTAATGCATATGATCTCTGTGTGTGTGTAGAATCCACACACCCAAGGGACATACTTCATGCACAGACAGGCAGAGAGCTGTCTTCTAAGGAAGATGGACACAGGAAAATGCAGGGCTCTTGTTTTGTCAAGAGGTATGTGTAAGTGTTTTTAACAGGGAGGGCTGTAGAATGAGACTTACCTGTTGTGACATAAGGTGAATTTCTAGAAATGTGGAAGGACTAGAAATGAAATTAAACAATCTTTAACACATGGATAAATGAACATATAGTAAGTTGGTATGAAGATCTCTTTATTTATTTATTTTTTAAAAATTTTATTATTTTTGTGTGAGTGTACCATCAAATCAGATCTGACTGGTACAGGAGGAGACTGTCCCTCCCTCCCTGGCAGAGCATCTGGTGGACTCGAACCGTGCGCCTCTGGGACTGCAGTTGCAGTTCCCTGCCACCAGGCCACCAGAGCTCCGAAGATCTCTTTCTTAAAACTAATTAAAAGCAAAAAAAAAAAAAATTTCCCTTTACTTTCTGTAAGGAATTTTAATTACTATTTGATCATTTGGTGGGTAAGGACTTTCCTACCTAGATCTCCTTGGCAGATGTCAGTTCTATTGGCTCCACCAATGATAAATCGAGGATTCTCACAAATTTCCTGTGAAGCAAAAAGGAAAATGATCAGGTAATAGCAACAGTGACTGGCGTTTATTGAGTTTCATTATACAGTACCAGTGCAGGTTACCACACAGTGTTCAAATGAGCCTGCAAAGAGTTCTGGGTATTGAACATATCATTCACATTTTTTAGATAAAGAAACTCACCCTCAGAGAGGCTAAGTAATTTTCCCAACAACACACAGCAAAAGAGTAGAGACATTTGGGAGCATGCTTCCTTACAGTTCCACACTGTCCCCAGCTGTCACTCTATGAGAGTAAGGGTTCAACTTGAGGGTCAGGGTGATACCATTCCTTAAGCAGTTTTGACAAAGTGTTAGCAGAAAGCATGGCTTTTGTTTTTCTATGTCAGGAGCAGAGATATGAGAAAGGAAAATTAGAATTTTTCTCCTTCAAAATGTGGCAACATAGGTATTTAGAGTCAACATATGTATGTGTGTTAACTCTAAATACATATGTCCAGGGATCCACTGCATTTGAGAACATAGAAAAACTCTGGTGTGAACCTGGCAAGCAACCTTGTCTCTTTGAGTGCCTGTTATTAACCAAGCCTACCAAATAGGGCACCAGCAAAGTTCCAGGCACCAGAGACGGCAGTCAACAGCACTCACAGAACAGCCTTGGTTTTACCAACAGAGGGCGCTCTTGTGTCTGTTTGGATGTGTCTTCTGGTTTGTTTTTAAAACTTAAAAATAATTACGACCTAAGCCACAGTCCTTCCAGTCACCTCATATGTGTGCATAAGCTGGAAAAGGAAGACCTCTGATGCTTCTGAATTGTGTTTAGCAAAAAAATATTGAATCTACCAGAACAAACAAATCTGTCTTAGAAGTACAGCCAGAATTCTCATTAGGAGCAAAGATGATGAGACTTCATTTCTTATTTAGGCATATTATCAGGAGAGGTGAGTCCCTTGGAGAAAGACATCAGGGTTAGGAAAGTGGAAGATCTGTGAAATAGAGGAAGATCCTCAACAAGATGGGCTAACAGGGTGGCTACAACAAGGGACCCAAACATAGATAATGGTTGTGAAGGTGGCACAAAGCCAGGCAGCACTTCATTCTGTTACCCATGGGGCTGGGGCTGTGATAGGTCAGAACGGAATCAATAGCATCTTAAGAATATGAGTAACAAATTAAAGATTCAGTGGTCTGATTTTAACATCACTCTTCACAGCTTCAAGACACCTTTCTAGGGGGAACTCTGGTGGCCTAGTGGCAAGGAGCTGCAACTACAATCCCAGAGGTACACGGTTCGAATCCACCAGATGCTCTGCCGGGGAAGGAGGGACAATCTCCTCCTGTACCAGTTAGATCTGATTTGACGGTACACGCACACACACAAGTAAAAAAAAAAAAATAAAAGACACCTTTCTAGTTCTGTGCCATGGCTTATTCACCCTTTCTTCCCTCCACAATGATCCACACATACTGATGCCCCCAGCACTTGGTCACCTCTCTTTCCAAACACTCACTGGGAGGAGGGAGCATGTCTGTTTTTCTCTCTGATCACACAGTATTAGAATGAATTATTTTAAAAAAATCTTTGCGAATTTAATAAGAAGAAAATGATACTCCATTGTTTAAGTTTAGCCATTTGTGAATTGTCTGTTTAGGTCTCAGCCTGCTTTACAATTTGGGTCTTGGAATTTCTCTATACATTTATAACAATTTTTTAAAATAATTGCTTCTAGTGTTTTTAAGAACAATCTCTCAGTTTTTGTCTTTTTGTACTTGGTTATTTCACTCAGCATAATGTTTCTGACATTCACCCATGTTGTAATATGATCAGGACTTCATTTCTCTTTATGACAGCAGTATTCACTTGTATGTGTGTACCACCTTTTTATTTCCTCTTCATCTATTGATGGGCATTTCTATTGTTTTTGTTTGTCTCTTGTAAATACTACTGCAATGTACAATGGAGTACACATATCTGTTTTTGTTTTTCTTTCTGTTCTTTAAGGGCATATAACTAACCACTCAGAAGTGGAATTGTTAGATTATCCATAATGATATTTTAACTAACTGATTTGCCACCTTCAAAGGATGACAATAAATCAATTTATCATCTTAGAAATTGATGAGTAAGGGAAAGAGTAAAGTATTTAGCTTGCTTTCTCTTTCTCAATATCAGCTAATTCAGTAAAGACCATCAACTCATAATATGTAAGAAAATGGATGGTTAAAAGTGTCCTTTTACTCAGGGGACATGAAGGACAGGTGGCATAATGAAGTCCACAAAGACAGTGTTCTACATCCTGCTTTGGTAAGTCTCAGCTAGGGTTGTAAAAGCTTGTGAGCAGACTTCTAAGGGGTGACTATTGGTCTCTCCTAGTCTGGAGCAAAGAGGGAAGAAAAGACATGTGGAAATAATTAGCCCAAAGAACGAATGGACATGAACCTCAGCCTCCATGACCTTGAGGACCAGAAGAACCAGGTTGTGCTCAGCTGCCACTGCTGACAGCTTTAAAAGGGATCCCATTAGAGATCCTGCATAGATTGGGGGGAGGGTGAAGAGGGGGAATGTAAAGCAAAAAAAACCACAAAAAAACCCATGAAAAACAAACCAATAATAATGGTGAGATTAGCTATCTGTTGGAAGCTGGCAGAACCCCTGAGCCTATGACCCTAAATTAGCCTTTGAACCTGGAACAAAGTTCCCCCCACGGCTTACCTTGCAGTCCAACAGTACATAAGCTTATAAGGCGACCAGTAACAGCAGGGAAGCACTCACTCTGCAGAATAATCAGCCACATAAGATCAAAAGAGTAATATTTGCCCCAGGACAACTCAGTGCAGAAAAGGATAGGATAGAAGGAGTAGCAGTACTGAAAATCACAGTGAGGAAGTGGGAAGAATATGACTGCATTGTGAGTACAGAAATTAATTTCATAAAGCATAAGGTATGTGACTAGCTCAATGGAAAACAAATTTGTTTTGTAAATTTTCACTCAAATCACAATAAAAAGATAATAGCATGAAAAGGAAAAAACCCTATTGTTTAACCAGTGTAATTGCTAATGAGATCTAATGTGAGTAAACGGCTTCTAACATAAGTGTTTCAGCATGGAACATTTTACTAAGGAAAGAGCTGGTAAGTCATAACATCAGTTAGCAATGTTTTTATGGACGAAAATAGAGGACAAAGGATATTATAATTTAAAT